CCGTGTAAAGTTTGCTTATCATTTTCGCATAAATTATGACCTAAATTTGGAAACCGCTGAATTTCTCGAATTGGGTCTTTGCGATTTTGGTGAAACTCTGTTCAGCGCAAGGCACTAATGCGCACTATGTGTAGCCGAGAGATTTTCACGAAAAAATGCCGGCAACAGCAGATTTTCGACTCAGACCTCAAAGGGGCGTGGCATTATAACCACGTATTGTAGATTGATCTATATGTTATCCATTCTATGTGTTAGACTTACGATAAAAGTAAAGGTGGGGATACCAGAGAGCTTCAAAGTAGGATGGTACCCACCCAAAAAAACTGGGTCGAGTCACCTTAATGCTCGGCAATCTGTATAAAACGGAGCGCTTTTGAAGTGCAGTTTCACCTCATAGTGGTTTTCAATCTTTTTAAAAACGTGTGAAAGATCATAGAGGTAGCTTTAGTCGATTTCGTGAAAGAAGAATTTCATTAGTATGTATCGAGGCGCTCTTGTTCGCGGTTTTTTAATTAACATTTTTGGTCCACTTAAACAAATAAGCAAATAAGTTTGAAACCGCTCGATAGATGTTTTTTATTATTAAATTTGATATTCTTAAGATTCACCGTCGTTTTATACGACCTTTGTGTTTCAAGACTTTTAATAACTTGTGAGGCAGTAAGTGGACAATAATAGCTAACATTTCTACATATTTCAAATGCATTGTCAGTTACTGCTGTTCACTTGAAAATGAAACTTTTAGACAATACTCCTGAAGAGGTGCAAAGAAAGGTTTCTCACATTATACAGAAGACGCTTAGCTAAAACAAATTCCATATGGTCGTGGTCCTTCTGATTAAAATGATTAGAATCTGGTAATGTAATAATCAACCTCAATAAACAACCATTTTAAATGAGAATTTATTTTTGCAAGATGCTGATTTTCGTGTTAATGATTTCGTGCAAACTCTAAGGACAAGTATGGCGAGACAATGGCGGTCGTGTACGAACGCACAAGAAGAACTCAAGAGATGCTGTTCGCCGATTGGGCACAATAATACAAAGCATTTTTTGTGCCCAATCAGGAGCCAGCATTCGTCTGACCGTTTGGAAATAGCCCGGCGAGAGTCGGCAGCCATGTGCTCTTCCGCCCGTGCTTGAATTATCCCACTTCTCATCTTTATGGTGCTCCCTTGCTAAAGGTTCAATTTGATCGCTTTGTTTCAATCCCAAAGATCCAAAAGAGCCCTGGAGGCCAAATTCTAGTCTGGTTTGTGTTGGCCCTAATTAAGATACAGTGCAAGCTCTCGTAAGCGGACCCCCTCGGGACTCGAAAAATGGTGTCTGTAACTGGAGCTGGCCGCTCACGGGAATGTAAAAATACAGAGTTTGTGTTTGGGAGTTGAGAGAAACGGGCTTTTGTGAATATGGTCGTAAGTAGAGCTGTCCGCTTACGAGAGTGTCTGTTTGGAGAGCTTTCACTGAAGCCAAATTAAACCTTAATGAAAAAGAATGTTTCTTATGAATGCCTAGCTTCCTGAACTCTAGTCTGATATATGAAGTCATCTCTAAGCTTCTGTTTTTAAAACAGCTAATTTCATGATGATTCTCGTACAACCTTCAAGGACATCTTTATTCAGTCGGGGGTTGTAACCCTCCTGGAAGGGTCACCCCCTTAGAGAGGGTCAAAGATAGCGATAGGCCCCTTTTACACGAGGATAGATTTGCATCAAGCGCACGCTAAATTATAGTTTTTGTTCAAATCTAATTGTAAACTGATCTAAGCTTGTGCCTCCTAAGAGAGTAACCCTAACCCGACCATTTACAAGGCAAAAGTTGACCCTCGAGGAGGTTTATCTAAGAAAGCAGATAGGATACCCTACTGGCTTTTCATGTGAACAAAACTACTGAAACACAATAACGAACATTTAGCCTTAAAGGACGCTTAGCCCCCTCTCCCCTCCATGTAACTGGCGCATAAAAGGGAAATGTTAAGGAGTGAACATCGCAAGCTATATCCCAAGATTTTGCTTCACCTCTGCTAGAATGATAATTGTAGACCGTTATATTACAAGCCAGTTGAGAATAAAGAGAATTAAATGAATTCATTCTTTAAGGAGGCAGCATATAACCACTCCGACAGAATGAGGTTCCAATTAGTCTTCCGACTCGATCTTAGTCCAGGGAACTAAGAGACAGGTTTCGCGTACTGTTGTAGTTAAAAGTTCAGGTTATTGTTTGTGGAAATACGAAATAATGAATCAAGGCTCCACCGCCTCTTATATATGGCCTCATCTTCTGTACAAAGCATCATCAGGCTCTTCATCAAATCCGTCTAGTTCCCCTGAGCCGCTTTTCTCTTCTTCTCCTTCTTCCAATCCATCGTCGACTTCGTCCGGTCTTGGGGGTGTTTCTGACTTTTTATACGTCTCGTTAACCTCCTCCGGTGAAGAAGTCCCTGCGTTGCTTGGAAACGTCTCTGATATGACGTCAGAGGTACCTTCAGATTGAGTGAATTCCTCTGTGACGTCCTTATGGGTATCAATTGGTGTAACAGATCCTTGTGATGTAGCAGTAGTGACTGGCTCGGTGCTAACGTGCTCTTGTACTGTGATTTCAGGGACCGAAGAGTAGGTAGAGGTTGAGGTGGATGATGTGACTGATGAGGAAGACAGACCCGCCCCGTTTGTGGTGATGACTTCACTCACTGTTTGGCCATTTTCCGAACCACCGTCTACGTTCGAATAGGAAGTTCGAGGCACGCACCTGTAAAATTTGTATAATTCTTAATTAAGTCAGTTTAATACTTCCCACATTTTGACGCCAGCAAAGAAATCCTGCGTATGGGAATAGGATAGAAATTAACTTGAAACCGGCGATAAAATGAAGTGCCAGGCGACTAGAAAATGTCTTTGCTACAACGGACCACCTATCCCTCCCTTAAGTCACAATTTTGCCCTAAGTGAGAAGTAAGTGTCAATGTAGACGTTAGGGGATGGGTAGGTGGTCAGTCACACAGAAACCTCAATTGATCCACTAGGCCCTGGCCCCAGTTGTCAAAAAGATAGAGAGCGCTATCCACTGGATAAATCCCTATCCAGTGCAGTGAATAAAGAGATAGGGAAACCAAGTGTGTTATCCACTGAGTAGTGATTTATCCTGTGAATAGCGCTATCCACCTTTTAAACAACTGGGGCCAGGGTAAAAAGAGACAAAGTGGTCAGTTATAACCTTACTTGTATTTTATGTCCAGATACTTGTACACTTCAGGGCAAATGGTGGTTCCAGCCTTCGCTAAGAACTGGTTGTTTGCAGCCACCTCACATTTGCGTTCCCCATCACACAGGCCTCTCACATGAGCAATAACTTGGGTTTCCTGTTCCTGACATTGTTTTTCCGAAGGAATGCTCGGGTGGACGCAGGTTGATTTATCTTTACGACCATACATCGTTCCCATTATTTCGATTTGGTCGAAAATGCTTTCGCATTTTATGTAAGCTTTCTGTCCTTCACAAACTATATTGCTATGCTAAGGGCAAAAGATAAAAGTAAACAATTGGTTAATAGATTCCTAGGAGTTTAAGCCGTACTTTAACTCCATATAGCCCAAGGGCCCGTTTACATAAAGGAAGGGTGCTTTAGCGAACCTACTTACTTCAACCAGGAGAGCGCGGCAAAATCACACCACCCTTTCTCGTGCATCCAAGCTCTCGGAATAGTGATTTGATAAAGATTGTAAGAAGACTGTAAACTTAATTGACGGATACATTTTGTTATGGAACGGTTAACTGTATTAAGTCGAAAGAACAAGTTATTGAAATCAGAAGGAAATTATTTGATCTCTGTCATTACTCCTATAAAGCAGCGCGCTTTCCGCTTGCCGAAGATATTCGTTAAAAAACAAACTCAGTGACCAACGGATAAACAATTATTGAACTTGCTCGACCTTGTCCAATAATTGTTAACTGTTTTGAACCGACCAGGCGAAGATAATTGTTTTAGTATTTTATATGTCAACAATTTAAAAATAGTTTAAAAATAGTTTGGGACTTTTGTCAAGTAAAATTTAGTCGAGATACGACCATTCAAATAGTTGAATATATGGATCTCCAGACACTTGTCTTTATCAAATTTTGGTGGGTTCGAATAGTCGTACCTCGACAGACACCAAACTTTGTGAATTTGCACATCTCCGTGTGTGCTTTCGTAGTATATGGGTCTTGTTGTGAGAACCAATGTTCTGTCTTATACCCAGTTCCCCACGGTACAAAACAGGTCAATTTTTTAATATGCGGCCTTCATTTCCGCTAGCCACAATGTGCCTGGCCAAACCAGGAAATGTAAGAGGAAAAACACTGTATAGCATACAAAAGGTCCATTGCTTTTTGAAAAAAATAAATAAGAAATTTGACTATCTTAGGGCAGCACTTCCTGGTAAGCTATTTCACCCTCCCTCTATGCAGGTAATAAGGCATCGAAGGAGCTAAGCCACACCATATGCTATTATCATTTTAAAAAGCTAATACGCGGCCTCTCATTAATTGCATCTCAAAACTGATGGTACAGTTTTGTTATTCTAGACTATATTTAGATATTGAAACTTTTTCCTTTGGTCTTTTGCTATGGGTGGCAAGGATAAACATGGATTGAATATTGAAAAAGTTACGCCGACTTTTTAAGCGTTAATGCTATTCCTGCAAAAACCTCCAAAAATAATATTATGGCTAGTGCTCCCTGATGAAATTTGTATAGGTAATAGCATGATTTGTAGTGAAGTGGTATTTATGCCAAATATCACATACAAATCATGCTATTATTTGTTTATACTACGACCCGCCAAAGGTTTGTAATTTTCACATGTAGGTATTTCAAATTAAGCTGAAATACCACTGCTCTAAGCCAATCAAATTGCAGAAATTCTCATGTAGTAGTATAAGTTTAATAACTCCAGAGGAGCATTTTATGCAAGGGTAAAGGTACTAAGTAATGACTACAGCACAGACTGTTGGCCTCTTTAATGAATGACAATGGATCCCTTGTGATACTGTCCTTACCACTTTTAAGGCACTTGGAGGCTCAGCACTTTCGAATGACCCTAGGCTCGGAGCTCCATGGATCCCTGGAAAATGATGTGAAATCTTTGAATTACAGAGATTCCTTACAGGCACTCTTGTGAAAGAAGCCATAGTGGTGAAGTAATAAGAATTAAAGTTGAAACTCCAAAAAATTAGAGGCCAAGACGAAGAAAACTCATTTAATTGACAATGCCCAGATTCGGCATCGGAATCCGAATCCGGAATCCTGATCTTTGAATCCCGGAATTCAGCTTAAGAAATCCGGAATCTCACTAACGTTTGCAATCGAGAATCCAAGTTCCACTAACAAAGGGTAAAATCCAGTCGCTGGAATCCGGAATCTACGGCTTGGAAACCAGAATCCAAGACGTATTGTCTTTGATTCCCTTACATGGAGCGATTAAGTAATACTATGTCTTGCTCGATTCAGACACCTTTCCACAAAAGGAATGCGTCTCTGACTCAGTGCACCGTCAATTAGCTATAGAAGAATGCAGCGAGATTTCGAGATTCAAATTTAAAAACGAGATTCTCAAACGCACACTGATAGCTTTAGTACGATGAAGTTTCATGCTTCGCATAGAAATTACGCTGTTACCGAAATGACGCGTAAACTCTCCTCTTGGCCAGATAAATACGACCTTAAAGATTGGAGGATTCAAGCGTTTCCAAATCTATATCGTAGATTCCCAATGATCTTATCTCCTAAAGTATAGACTTAATAACAAATAAGGCAACTTGTTTCATTGCACGACCTACCACCTATGAAGCAGAACATAACCCACCCGTAATTGACAACAAGTTTTCTAAATAACAATCGTTGAAGCGTAAAAGAGCAACCTGATTGTTAAGTATTTTGTTAAATAACAGATGCTGATTAAGGAAAGAAGGTTTTAATTAAATTTCCACCGGCTCACTAAATTCGCAAAACTTACAGGTCTACAACTAATTGCTTTGAAGAAAAAATGCTTTTGTTTACAAAAGTACGGAACACAATAAAAATATTTATGGATCCAAAAAATTTCTTACCATGCAAACAGTATGACATCAAGATTCCAAGGAAACTCATTGACCACCTCATGTCCATGAAGGGTTGGAAAGAAAAATATCTGCGTTACTCGAAAGAACAAGAGGGGGTAAAGCTTATAGAAACTTTCGGTTGCAAAGACGGGATTACATCAGTTGATCCATTCTTCAGAGAGACGAATTTCTCGCTGGTGTTATGCATTATTTATTAATTCCAAATTTATCTTTAAGACGAAATCAAATCTTTATTCTTTTTAAGGATAAAGACGTTAAAATATATCAATTTACTTATTCAAGGATAGTAGTTACCTCAGCCATAAACGACACCTCACCCCAAAAATTTTATTTTGACAGCCAGGATTGTGAGAGGGATACCTCACACATGACTGCTTTTGTTTACTTTTCTTAATCTTAATCATCATTGTTTAGCTTGCAAAACAACAATGTGATGGCCTCTTGTCCTGAGCTGATATTATAAAAAAATATAAACTAATAATACATAAGAAGTTTGTTGGAGAAAAAACTGACCATGACTGCGTGGTCCGGGCATCAAATTAATCTTATAAATCCTATACAGCGTCAAGATATAACGCAAAACGAGAAAAAAATTATAGACTTGTCCAGAATTACCTGAAAGGTTTATTTACCGTAGGGTGTTACGATGCCTTAAAAAACGTTGTCTGAGGCAAAATGTAATTCAGCGCACTACAGACTAGCTTTTTGCAACGGAATGGAAAAGTAATGGCGAACACAAGGTGCTGACCCACACGACCAGAGCTTAACCCCGGTTCAGAACCAAGGAGTCCTAGGGTTATTCTTGCTACTTTCCCTGGATGGGATGGAGTAGTCCATCGCGGGGTTACCCCCAGTGATATTTCGCCGGTGCCATTAAAATACCGCTGAGTGGAGACCAACAAAGTAGAGCACTAACGAAACAACGAAAAAGCAAGGCTTAAGCCCAGATTTTCAGGGATCCGTTCTCTGAATCGACGGTTCGAGGTGATATAGGTTTAAGTTTTGATTTTCGGTGTCCTCGTTCAACACGGTGAACGTAACTACTGAACTTTCTTTGAAACGCTCATGAAGTAAGCGTCTTCTTTGCTCCCAAGAAAGACGTCAAATTTGGAAAGACCAGTTTATAATCATCGTCATCATCATCATCAGCATCATCATCATCATCATCACTATCATCATTGTTTAATTGCCTTTGTTAAATAGTCTATTTGTGAGGAGACGCCAAGAGAACGTTGGGATTATGGGACAGGGCCCTCTCGAATGGCAATATGTTAACAGGCCTTTGCAGTTTAAAACTAACCTGCGCCAGCCACGCAGCCTATTGCGGAAAGATATTATTGATCTGCGAAGAGATGTTATTTATACTAGTAAATGAAACCTGTTAAAACCTACTAATGACTCTATTTAAAAAAATGATAGTTTTCCACTCCGAATTTTGTGGGCAAAGCTCTTTGCTTGGTTGCTTATGAATAACTACAGATGTTTTGAAGTTGGCTTAACCCTTGAATACTGACACAGGTGAAAACAACAAATGGGCGTGCAGACTACGCTTCCGAACGTGAAGTCGCAAGACTCTAGCACCCAAGGGCGTGGTCAGCCTTGCAAGTGGTCTGAATAGAAACTTAAAAACGAATACTGGGTGGAAAATACCCCCGTTTTCTACGAGAAAAACTTCTTGGCCTGTTATCTACATCCAAAGAACATCCTACAGGTTCTAAAAGGCAATTAAAAATTGGTGATCCATATTTACCTTTTAAGCTGCGGCAAAGAGAAATGGTAGGTAGCTTACTTCGGATTAAACTGACCCAAAATGCCAAGGATTTCAAAACAACCTGTTCGTTTTGATCATGATACCTTATAAGAGGCCAATGTGTTTCGTTTAATCCAACACACCAAGTTCAAGCTCGTACGCGAATAAGAACTTGAAGATACTTATCTTTATTAAAAATCATTTAACAATGGATCACCCTAGCGGCCAAAATTAAACTAAGCAGGTATTGACACAGGACTATTGTTCAAGTTATCAATAATAAATTGCTTGTTCCCTTTTTGCTTCATTAATGGCGCTTTCTTTCATCGATCAAAGATGAAGATACAAATACTAATTAGTGCTTTACTCTGCAGTGTCAGCGAAGGTAGGAGTTGTTGTAAATTGACGTTTTTGGTTCAGATTGATTTTTGTGTAAAAGGGAACTAAACCCCGCCAAAAAATATCTTGTAACCTGTTTAAGTTAGTGTACCCGCAACACTGAGTTGATTTGTGTATTCATATGAACACAATAATATTTGGTAACAGGGAGGATAAACACAATCACAGTGAATAAGTTAACGGGATAAAAGCTTAACACAGTGTAACATGGTAAATGTTCAATGTCCTGCCCTTTATGTTTATGTAACTAACGATTTATTACCGTCTCCACCTGATGAAACGAGGGGCTGTAAAATTTAAGACATCAATCCTGTTGTTACATTCATAGAGTAACTCCTTTAAATGGTCGTGAGTAGAATCCCTCAATCTACGGGATTTGACCTCTAAGGCTCTTTTTTCGTTCGTTAGAAGTATGTTTCAAATCTTTCGCCACATGGCTCAAGAACGGCTGAAGAAAAGCTTTAACTTTGACATCACGAAACATCCAATACGGGGTACCTTCAAAACAGCCGAACCACTATTATAGCAATTATAGGTTAATTCTGATCCAGTTTAACGCCAGATGTGTAGAATGAACCAGCGCTCAGTTTCTCAGGTGTGTTTAGTCACCATCTTTGAAAAACAGAGAAACATTGGAAAGCGTAGAATGCGGCCGTCGATAGAGAAGGACAAGAGTTTGAGAGAACGACATTACGCGATCGTATTCTAATGACGCTCCCAGACCAGTAGACACATGCCAGGTAGTTTCATATGACATGTGTATTCTTGATCGTATTAAATGTCTTTTTCTAGATTGGCGTCTAATCTCGGAGAGGAGACAGGAACTTAAATGTTTATGGCATTCTTCTCTAAACTAGTATTGTTTAAAGGGACAGTGCAAAAGCATTTCACATTATTTTTGTACTCTCACCGAACTGGTCGTTACGTATAGAGTTTTTGTCCCTTGTTGGGTGTTGTACTGTAGAAATATTATTCTATTTCTTCTTTTCAGTTTCTTCGTACAGTTCCTTCATACAGAACTGCTTGGATTCCCATAATGCGGTTCGCGCACACTATGGCGTTCCAGCCCTTAACTGGTCATCGGAAATTGCTGTCGGTGCACAGAAATGGGCCAATCATCTTGCTGGAATAGACCAGCTTCAACATGACTCCACAGCAACAGAAGGAGAAAACTTGTTTTACATGTACGGAGGAGACCCCGAACAGGCCTGTGACAGGGCTGTAAAGAATTGGTATCAAGAAGTGAAGAATTATGACTTCCGGTCCCCACACCTGGATGACAGTACTAGTAAGTGTGTACAATCCCTTGAACCCTAAGATCAAAATTCAGATTCCAATTCGTGGTACCTGTACGTTTCCTAAAGAAGTAGTGGGAGAATTTGTTGAAGTATCATTTAGATTCATTGTGTGTGACCATTTCCTTAATTTATGTCACCAATGTGTTTTGCAAAGTATTGATATTCTAAGGAGTCATTTGATGCTGATCACTCTCAGGGCTTAAAGGGTAAATATCTAACAATTAATGAATGAGGCTGAGTTTCTCATGAAGAATTATGGGGATCGAGGAGGGTATCAGCTCCGCAAATATTCTCCAAATAGCAGATGTCGCCCTTCGAGTTGTCTTCTTGCTATTCTTGCCAGTTTTTTTTGTTTTGTTTTTAGTTATTATTTCGCCTAGTTCTTGCCCTAGAAACGAGTGAAATGTTTTCTACAACCAAAACAACTCAACCTTGTCCCCAGGTCCTCACTGTTAACGGTGCATTAACATGCAAAAACGCTGCATTTTTGACGTCATTTCCTCGCAAAACACAAAATTCTTACAAATTTGATCATCAGCAACTGGTTATGGTGAATTATGCGTGTGCTTTTAGCCAATCAGAATCGGGGAAATATTTTGAATGAATAATAATTAACAATTATTGGATGAGGCTGAGTATCATGTCAAGATTTATGGATGTTATCCGCCGAGGCCTTATAATTCCCTCTGAAAAAGCCGAATTCAATAATTGTTATATTATTCTTTCAAAATAATTCCTATTTTAAAAACAAGCTAGAACATGCTTACCTCTATCGATGTTTAATAAGTTCATATTCGATAGTGCATGTTTATCGGCAAGTTTCAAGATACAGGGTTGTTCAGTACTGCAAATATTCTCCAAATAGCAGATGTCTTCCGTCGAGTTGTCTTCTTGCTGATCTTGTTATGTTTTTAGCCAACAGTTCGCATATTTCGTCCTCGCGAAACGAGTGAAATGCTCCGCCATTTTGTACTCACTACCAAAACAACTCAACCTCGTCCCTTGGTCTTCTTAGCTAACTGTTCAGCTTTCTGGCAATTATGCTGCACAATTGACGTCATTTTTCAGATATCGCAAAATTCTTCCAAATTTGGTCGACAGTAGTTGGTTATGCTAAATTATGCGTTGGATTTTAGCCAATCAGAAACGGAGAAATATTTTGAATGAATAATAATGATTGTCAGTGACAATTTTAAATAGTGTCATCTATTCTTTCAAACCTAATAACTTGCAATCGAGGACTACGTTCAGACCTCAGTGAATGGAACGATACTTACTGGATACTACTGTGGAACCTCGATATAACGAATCCGAAAATAACAATCGAAGTCCTAGGTATAACGAACGATGTTCTTAGTCCCTGTAACAGTAAAATATATGGAAGAGAACCTCGATGTAAAGAAACCTCCTTATATCGAACATATTTTGCCAGTCCCTAGGTCCCTCGTTATATCGACGTTCCACTGTAATATGAAATTCCTCCCGGGGGAGCGGGGGAGCATTCCCTTATTTGGACTTGATAGGGTATGTGCCGCTGACCAGAGTATACAGTTAGACTATTTAGAGTCTTTAACACTCAGGATGTGTTTTTGGACCTGAAGCCTTTCACAGGGTGTGAAGGTCGGCGATGAGCGGTCTACATGAGTGGTGCCAACAATTTCTTTTTTCTAAAAGAATAAAAATTCAATGACGTTAGTTTGAAAAATAATGATAATCAATTAAGTACGCCAAACGAAATGACTAAGGGTCATAGAATAAGGTCTCTTGTCTTAAACTGGGTAGAAAAATAAACGATTTTTGTCTTAACCCTTTAAGCCCGAATATCAACATACAAATTCTCCAAACTGATCTCAATACAGTTCCTTAAGAATAAGTTGAGAGAATTTGTTCAAAGATCAAAGCATTTCCCTTTGGTGATCATTTTATTTATTCTCATAAACGTTTCTTTGAAGTATGTATGGATATTGTTAGGAGAAAATTGATGGTGGTCACTCTTAGCACTTCAAGGGTTAAACAGTGTCAGGGGTTTGAAGGCCTCGGCGGCAGACGCATCTCTGGCTAAGTTTGCCATAAGTGCCATCCTTTTAGAAGTTACACACGCCAGAACTCGGCAATTCGTGAGTAAAAGATTGGGAGCATCTCCTCGGGCACTTGGGTGGATACCTTTTCCTTTTGTGTCGGTGTTTTCTGTTAGAGCAGAGGCACTTTGACAACAATCTTCTAGGCTTTAAGCAACCCCGTAACTCCCAGCTACGCTCGGATCTAACGGATAAAAGCTGAAGCAATTCATTTACAGATCCTGTACCTGGCACCGGGTGTAAAAAAAACATCATTTTGTGCCGTTATCTAGTCTCTAGTGCTCGGAAATCAAGTGCAAACGATATGAAAACCACTGTCCCGATCGTGATTTATCAGTGCCTGATCCTAATGATGATCTAATGATCTAATCCTAATGATCTTAACTGATTTGCTAATAAGTGCCTGACTGATGGCTTGAAAACTTACCTTCTTTCTGTTACAATCCTAATCTAAAACTCTACTCTAACATGTTAAAGTCACCTGATTTGAACGCTTCATATCATTCAGCATTACTTAACACTAACCAACTTTGGCCCAACAATCTAACAAACTCAGACTGATCAGCAGCAGAAATTTTAAAAAATTGTCGATAGCAGCCAAAGGAGTGTCTATTTACTCGCAAAAACTGGCAATTGCGTACTCTACATACAGGATTAGACCTCTTGAAAAACAGCGACGAATTAATCTCTCAACAGATCATTTCAGTCAGCTAGTTTGGCGAAATTCCAAAGAGCTAGGAATTGGCACAGCACAGAGCAAATCCGGGAACTTCTTTTTGGTAGCTCGATACAGCCCACCTGGAAATATTAATGGTGAATTTAGCGATAATGTACCCGCTGTGGAAGAACAATTTTCAGACGAATACAGACAAGAAGATAGCAACAATGATATAAATCCAGGTAAGATAGGAAAACTGGGAAAAATCCTGCAGTTCACAAAAACACTCATTACATTTTTCACCGAATCGCCACTTCAGAAACGAGAAGGAACCTGGCTTGATTTAACTTTCGCAAAGACTTCTGGGACTGTTGCTAGGGGCAGGGGGAAAATTGGCCAATAGCTGACGGACACGTACCTAGTAACGATCCCAGAAACAATTGCAGGACGTATTTCGGCCCCAGTTCCCTTCTGCTTTCTAAAATGGCGAAAACTGGAGAAAAAGGGTTGAAGAGCTAAGCTTTCTCCATAGTTATTCCTTTAAAGTTAGTTGTATAACATAGTTACGGGTATTTAACCCTATTCAGACTGGGCTTTTTTGGTCAATCTGTGACTGGGGGGGGGGGGGCTCCTCGGACCCCCCCTCTGTTTCTCTGGAACCAATAATGCTAGGGTCATGAAATTTACACACAATGATCATCTCCGTACAAAGAAGCCCCACACCCAGTTTTGACTTGCCACGCCCAATGATGACGTCACAGTGACGTCATATTCCGATTTTTCAATGTTTCTTATTATTTTTCTACTTAGATACGTAAAATATCAATAATATTGGTAAAGTCATCTCTTTGTTATCCTTTCTTATGAACTAGTAACAAGGAAACACTTGTACAGCGAGAAAAAGCAATAGGAAGTAAAATTTGAAATGGTCGTCCGCCATCTTGGATCCGCCATCTTGGATTTCCGTTTTTTTGTTAAAATTATAATTTAAAGCAACTTTCAAAGGGGAAAAAGCTCAAAATGTATAAAAGAAGTATCAAACTAATGTTTATTACCCAAACAAATGACTTTGGAAGTGTTATTTGGAAAATAGAGCAGCATATTTGTCAAAGCAAAAAGGGACAAATTTTACCCCACCCCTCCCCCCCAAATATTCGATGTTGGAACATTTTGATGTAATTCAAAAACTAGTCCCAAGCAAAGACCATTTTAACAACAAAAAGCACTATAAGTGTAAAAACGCGATCTTAAAACAAAAAAACCACCATTTTTTAAATTTTCCAAAACCTATGTGTCAGAAACTGGTTGCCATGGCAACATGATTAATCACATGGACATGGTAATTATACCAAAATGTTCCTAGATAAATTTTAGGGAAAGTCAGAAAATTTGAACGTCATAGCTCTTTCGGTGTAGGAGTTATAACGATTTTGCCGGAGCGGGGGGTTCGAAAAGCCCCCCCCCCCCCAGTCTGAATGGGGTTAAGATTTTAAAACATAACAAATTTTGAGTGGATTTGCATATCTAAATTATTGGTTAAATTTTCTAATCTTTGAGGAAAGGCTTTATTTATACTCTTATTTGTTATTCCATAATTATAATAAAAATAACATGCTGAAATGCTGCCATTTTCCCGACAAAATGTTAAAATCTGAAGAATTAATTGTAGAAAGAAACTCCCTAAAACTCTTAATACAATTCTTTTTGTTCAATATCTCTGGCCAAGATTGATAGGAAAACCGTCATTGATACTGATTTATGCTTTTTAAATCTTCTCTTAAGCTCAAGACGGATCTTCATCCCCGAAGCCGAATGTTATTTATTTCAAGGAGATTAATGTTGATTCGAATGCACAGGGGCCGGAAAATGCAACAGAACCTGACCGTTCTGCCCCACAGCAGTATGATATGCAAGGTAAAGCTGTGGAAAACAGTCAGGACTCTGAAAAGAACCATCCTGCGACACAAGAACCAAACACGCAGTCGTCACGTGATGAGGCTGGAGACGGACAAAGTCCTCTGAAGGAAGATCAGAGTTCTCCTCAAAACGCTTTAAGTGGAAAACCAGCTGACAAAGGAGACAAAACAAATGCACAGTTAGGTTCTTCGGAGCAGAGCGAAGGTTCCACAAATGTAGCTCCAGTAAACGAAGTTTCCGATCACAAGCAAACCCGACCATTTTATCCTGAATCTGAGTCTGCTGATGTGAAACCGAGGCCGAATGAAACAAAAAATGTGGGGGCAGAAGTGCAACAGAGAAAAGAAGAGACGAAGGGGAAGGATGAAGCACTCGAAAAAGTAACACAATTACCACAAAATTATGAGCGGCCGAAAAAGCTTCATGAACCACCTAAGACAGACCTCACATATGTAGAACCACTGGTACCTAAACCACCTCCAAAGAAGGCAATGCCAGTACCCTTAAAGCTGCCACCAGAATTGGAGCTTATGACTCCTAAGCAAGGTATTCACATAACTTAAAGCCTCTGATGCAAGGCTGAGTTTTGTTAGGTCTAACCTCGATCAAACTCTGTTAGAGGAAGGTTTAGATGGTAATAATCAACTGTTAGGGATTGCGAACGAGATCACTAGAAGGTCAAAATGATCTTGCCCAACACTATGCTTTGTGTAAGTTTCACGAGGTAGGAGGTCCAAACGCGCCTAACCAGATGGCTTCCAATGCGTTCCATTCACTTTTAGTGACAGTCCAAAGGAATGATATGTTTGCTGCATATATGCAGCGCATGCGTTGTAGTATACTTAAAGATCAGGATTGCGAGCTCCTCTAATCGCCTGCAATTAATTAACAATTAATGAATGAGGCTGAGTATCTTATGAAGAATTATGGAGATCACGGAGGGTGTTATCGGCCGAGGCGGATAACACCCTCCGAGATCTCCATAATTCTTCATATGATACGAAAGCCGAATTCAATAATTGTTTTATTATTCATTCAAAATAATTCCTAGTTTAAAAACATAGCTAAAACAAGCTTACCTGCATCGATGTTAAGTTTATCTTCGATAGTTTACGTTTAGGTTTGTTCAGCTCCACAAATATTCTCCGAATAGCAGATGTCGCCCTCGGAGTTGTCTTCTTGCTGTTTTTGCTATGTTTTTTTGCTATAATTACGCCTAGTTCCAGCTATAGATTTTACTCTTGAAACGAGTGAAGTGTCCGCCATTTTGATTTTCACAACCAACCAAACAACTCAGCCTTGTTCCCACGGTGCCTTAACCTATAAGAACGCTGCATTTTTGACGTCATTTCCTCGTTAAAGTCAAAATTCATCCAAATTTGGTCTTCAGTAACTGGTTATGGTGAATTATGCGTGTGCTTTAAGCCAATCAGAATTGGGGAAATATTTTGAATGAATAATAATGAAAATTAAGTGCTTTTTTAACAAGCGTGAGTGGAGGAAAGTCTAGCTTTGAATAGAAGCACACTTTCTAGCTGGTCGGAGATCTCTTCATCTCGCATCTAACAAGCTGTTAACAAGAGAAAAGTTAAAGGTAGAATTATTGCGGGTAGGATATAAACAACTGCAAAAAGGGAAAATACATTTCCTTTTTTTGACACAACACCATACACCTTTTTGTAACAGGCAAAGACTTTCGAGTTGAAATACGCTTCCCCAAGATGAACTTCTCCAGTGAAATGATGGTGCCAGAAAGTTTGGCTTTTGAAGAAGTGAAAAGAAACATAACTAGCGCAGTAAGTAAAGCAAACCAATTTTTCCAGTTGCTGGTTTTGTAGCAGCACCAGAGTTTGTTTTATGATGAATGGAAGTGATGATTGTGATGTGATATGATCTTGTTGTTTGCATTTCCGTCATGTTGCTAGATCTTAAATCTTTTCGATGACAAAGACGAATTCCTAGAAGCCAAAGTAATATCTCTGAGGTAAGATAAGTACTGCTTGGTTTCTTAGGAGAAAAACCTGTTAACCTCGTTTTTTTCGGACAACCAAGATAGCCTGAGCTCGCGTTTCAGTTGCTCTTTCGTTTTACGTGCCTAAACAAGTATCTGTTATGAGTTTAGGCCTTTCGTCTACTTGATCGCAAAGTCGAGGTAAACAATTATTGTAATCCCACGTTTCCCGAACGCAGTCTGCAAACGTGTATCTTTATCCATTACAATTTCTGTTGTGGATGAGTACTCGTTTGCCAACCTTTGTTAACGCTGACGTTGCAACACATGCAACATCACTAAAAACGTGAATTCGCACTGCTTTAAACTTTATAGTGCTTATTCCATCTCGTTCAATTCATCAACTGTTGATAATTTGTTTCCTGGGTTTGAATTCTAAAAGACTGTATCGAAGTTGAGGAAAATTAAAGAAAAAGAAAGTCGCTGTCTTGTGTTCGAGGCCTCTTCAAAACGTGAAATAAGGAACTTACACGTCGTAGTCGTGTAGCGTCGGCAAGGAAATTTTCAAAAAAGCGTGTTTTGCTTCTCCAATCGTCGCCGTCGCTGTTGCTCCCTACTGTCGAACCAGTGCGCCATCAATCCTTTTTCGTTTGCAATTTACGGCCGGAGATAAAGTCGAGGTCAAATAAAAACGCAAAATAGAGGCCAGTATCCAGCCATTACCGAAAAAAGCTACGTCAATAAAGGATTTATTACATGGCCAAAAAAAAGGCTCTTTCTTGCAGGACCAACACGGGAGATTCCAAACGTCTAACATTCCCCATCTCGCACGCTTGGGTAGGCAATAAGAACTCAGGATTTACTTCATGGTTGTCCGCTCGCAGAACCAGTCATAAAATAAATTATAGCTAACTAGCAACTTAGGGTACACTTGTGTGTTTCCTTTTTCTTTTTCCTTTTTGTATGCCATTAATAATTTCCCCTTGTCCATTTTTTTATAAGTTATTTAAGCTCGTTCCGTTCTCATACTTTAATCACAGAAACGGAAGTGGTGTAATAGCCACGTTGGGTTTACTTTTCACTAAGGACGCTCCAGGCCACCTCGACCCTCTAACAAGAGCACTACTCGCAGGAAAAATCGGAGATATGCCTGTAGCATCTAAGTACGAATCTGCAGGTAAGAATAAAGCGGCACTGTATTACGAATATAGAGGTATTACAGCTAGGTTGCCATACCTATATAAATAAAGGTTTTATTATACAACTCGCACCTCCATATGTAACCACCACTCGTAAGCGACCACCTCACATAATCGGCCACCTACAACACAAAACGTTCCCCAGCTAAAGCCTTACAGTTAGAACCTCTATAAACAACTACCTCCTGTAAGCGACCGCGACTACTACTTGAGGGCTGACCGCTTTTATTGTTTTCCATTGTTTTTAACCTCTTGAAGCGACCACTTGATGCACTGTCTGATCTCAAATTTTGCAGTGTGTACTATCAGTATGCTGCTCACAATAAACGAAGGTCTTTTAGCCACAACATGGAAAACACATATCGTAACTGAGAAGTGTACTGCGGCTTAAACATGTGGCTTTTACAGATGGTAACAAGCAAAAGCAACCATGACTATATACTTTCATTTTTCTTGCTGATTTGTTTACCTTCTTATATCAGATGGTTTCCTTTTACGACAGATTAAAAGTGTTTCTCAAAATTCAAAATCGCACATTTATAGCGTACATCAGAAAGTACTCTATAATTTTCTGCCAGGAACACGTGAACTCATTAGTGCTTTCGGTCAAATTCTATGCCGCCAATCCGTTAGTTGTTTATTTTTGTTATTTTATATTTACAAGTGTGGTCGCACGTTTTTTGGTCTAAGCCGGGTTGCAATTTTATGTAAGTGTTGCCTATCGTCTTTTCTCATTCTTCGAATTCTTTTTTTTTATGTTTTGCCATTTTTGGATAATACAAAACTTTAACTTGAAAACTTTGGATAAGATTTTTCAAGTTGAAAACCGTTTCATCCTGGTTATCAAGATCCAAAGAAATATGCTCATAGCTGAAGAGTAGTATAAATTGGATCGAATTAGCCCGTTTCTGCGTAGGAATCTCATTAAGAACGACAGGAATACAATTAATTCCTTTCCTCCGCATTTAATTCATAAGACAAAGACAGAAGGCTATCTCGTCATCCATCTTAAACCCGTCAAACCGGTAAAACCGCTTAAAAATAGAATATAACTTTCTCTTAATGAGATTCCTCCGCATTTTATTCATGAGATAAACACAAAGACGCTATGACGTCATCGTCGTTAATATTTTCCTCACGAGTTAATGAGATTCCTCCTAGTAAAAGAGGGGTTATCTACTATTCTACTCTAAAGTATTGCAGTAATTTTGAATAAAACCGAATCATTATTTGAGGGTTTTCTTTGATTCCAATGTGGTTCTGGGATATTAAAGTTACACCAAAAAATCCTGACGCAGCTCCTTTACTTGTGTGTTTGCTAATTTTTTTTTCAGTTGCACTACCCGCTGGATACCTTAGACTTAATCTTCCAATGCAAGAACGAGGCTCCGGAGTATGCGCACAGCCTTGTTCCCAACCAGATAAGTGCTACCCCGCGGGGTGTAGTGCGCAATGCTGTGCATTCCAACCCCCATCTTACAAATACCATCCTCGAGTGTCACCATCAGTGCTCCCATCATGCCCTGGGACATGTGACGACAGCTGTTTCCCGGATTGTGATAATGATTGCTGTTCGAACATGTCGGACTTATTGGAGCCTTCAAAGACAAACGCCGGATCTCTAGTCGCCGCCCCTCCCAGTATCACATGCCCGGGATCATGCCATTTCTTGTGTTATCCGCAATGTAGCCCACAATGCTGTTCTTCGCAGCCCGTGGAAAATCCGTGTCACTCCTCGTGCCCAGCTTACTGCGCGCCGAGCTGTGATACTGCCTGTTGTGCATCTAGGAAATCCCTTGTTAATAGGTATGATACATTTTACGATGAACGGTTTACTGATAAACCCTAGTAGAAAAGTCAAAACTAATGTTTTCCCATATTTTGATTACCGCTAACTTCCACCCACTCATAAGCCCACCAGTTATAAGTCCATCTACTTGCAAACAAAAAATGCTCCTTCGCTTATCAGCCCTTCTGAAACCCGCTGCAAAGATGCATTATCCCATGGCTTATAGGCGGCAAAATACGGTATACTAGTGAGCTTAAAGCAACGACGACGGCGACGGCTACGAAAACGTCACTTAAAAAGTGCATTCGCGCTGCCTCAAACTTTAGAGCTCTTGATCCGTCTCGTTCAATTCGTCAAATGTTGGCAAATTTTTCTGGAGTTGAATTCTAAAGGACTGTGTCAACGTATAGCAAAAGAAAAAGAAAGTCGTCTTCTGTTCACGTCCTCTTCAAAACGTGAAATTAGGCGCTTTCACGTTGTATTCGTGCAGTGACGGTAAAGAAATGCACAAAACAGCGTGATGCACGTGCAAAGTTCTTGTTTTGCTAATCCAAACCTATCGCCTTTTTGCCGTTCTCGTTGTCGTCGCCGTCGTGGTTGCTTAAGTTAAAAAAAAATCAGGGGTGTAGCAACCTGAAAGCCGTCGGTAAACAAGTGCTCCCCTTAAAAAAATGTTAAGACAAGTAAAAATGAACTAGGTAAAAAACAGCGCAAGCCAAACAAAGTGGACAGCCAATTAGGGTTAGCTAAAACTCCCGAAGTAACTGCATTAAATTTCTTTCGGATAACTTTTCAAATTAAAATATAAGAAAGAATGAGTTAACGTAAGTTATAACTAAAATTGTCTTCATTTCCAGCCTAGGCGAAATGATCACCTCGATCCCACTTTCAGAAGACCCGGACGGTGGACACTATCCCGCGGACGTCTCTATTGAAACAATCCTTTATTAACATTAGATAAATTTTTATTTGCCAGCTTTTCTAAGCAATACAGTCGATACCGCAGCGCCCAAAGAACATTAGCAAGAAGCCATTACTTGAAAAACTTACAAAAGCGCCTGAAACTACAGGGATTGAGAGGCCTGAAATCTATGAAACTGGCTCGACCAGTACGTCCAAGACAGCGGTCCGTCAAACTAAGAGAAGCTCGACTGAGACCCGAAAATCTGGCACTAGACGAATATGACCACAGTATTAACGATTGGGCCAAGAAAGGACAGATTACAAAAGATATCCACAGCCTGGGCCAAAGGTCTGGAGAATAAGGTATAAGGATAAATAGACATGCAGATCACCCGTGCGATTACAAAGACAAACACTGGTATTTTCTCGCATGACTGCAATTATTAAGAAGGTACCCTGGATCTTACAAATCGTAGAATGTAATCCTGTTAATGCTATTGTGACTAAACAATAGCCGGAGATTTTGGTTTACTAGTTTCACTACCTCAACACCAAACATTCTACAGGACGATAAGTCCAAGACTATTCTTCTCATGTTTCTTCAAAAAACTAAACGCTAAGGAGAAAAGTATGCTGACCTGAGAAACAGCCTACATCTCGAGACCCCACCACTGGTTTCCCTGCGAAATGTCGTCTGAGTAACAAGCGAAGAAATTCCATACTGATGACGTGTTACTACCCTAATTGGTTAAAAATTTTCTTTATCAAATCAGAAGCACTATCCAGATCTAAGTGGTGACACGTCATTTGCACGGAATCTCTGCGCTCGTCCCGACATTTCTCTCGGAAACCAGTGCTGCGTGGGGAAATGTTGGCTGTTTCTCAGGCTTAAAGTATCTATGATTTTTACGATTTCGTTGCAAGAATTATTGCAGTGCACTCCCAGTTAGACAAAACAAAAAACAATAAAAATGGAACCAGAGACGATTTCCAAAACCAAACGTCTCCACATTCACGGTGATTTCATTGACAATTGATAGCATGTTTCAGATTTAAAGCAAAATAATAAGTTTAAAAGTACATCGTAAAGAAGTTAAGAAATAACCAATAAAGCTGTAACTTTCAGTATTTTTGATGCATTGTTTCATGGTATTTTAAGGTATATTTCTCTACCCCACATGTAGTTCTGCACGGGAAAGTAATAGGAAAGAAAATCTACAATTAAAACGTTCATTTAATACGTTTCTCTAGAGCAGGATTTTATAAAACAGATTCATTCGTCCTCGTCGTCATCATCATCATCATCATCTTCATCACTTTCTTCTTCTGCTTCTTGTAACCACGTAATAAATGGAGAGATCTGTCAACCAAACAATAGAAAAGTAGTCCTGAATCGGTTTGCACTAAAGGAGGCAGTGTCATAGCAGCTTAAGGTTGACCTCACTAGCTGGGTCTTAGTGCCCTACTCTTTATGAAAAGAAGAAGCCATATCACTAGGAGTGAAAGTTTGTCGTCTTTATTGAAGAAGACACGAAATATCTAATCATTTGTAAATAACAGAACAAAGACAGCATATTCTCCTCAGTTATTTTCAGACCCTGAGTGTAAGCGCGGCTTGGAATCGAACCCGGACAGAGCGCTAAATAGTCTGGTTGGTGTAAGTAAATCTTAACATAGCCCCCAGTGAGAAGAGCTCGTGATAGAAAAGGAAAAAACAAGCAAACAAAACAAAACAAAGGCAGGAAACAATCTATGTCAGAGAACGAGCTATTTCTTCTCCGACGTAACTATTTCTTTGCGGGTAGTCTCTTTCTTTAATGACATAAGCAAGACACAAGCCCCATTCACAACAAAGCTTAGACGTATTTAAAAGCTGTCCTGTTTAATTAAACACGGTTTAAAATTGTTCCTTCATAAAAGCTGTCTACTGACTTAAGTTGATTGCAAATTTATTGCAAATAACAAACCATGTTGAATTTCATTTCAATCCTGTGCGAAAACCTGTGTTCCAGTCTTCCGTGTCTGTATTTCATTCTTAAAACCTGGTTAAATTAAACATGTTTAGTTGGTGTGAATGGGGCATTACTCATTCTTTGGAATCGACAAAGACCCCTGTCACCTTGCGAGTTGATCCAAGAAAGCTAAGAGTAGAAAATGACTGGCAACTCTTTAGAGTTAACCAGTTTAGTGTTCTAAAGCTCTAATGGTTAGCATAACATATATGCATTAACACATTAATTACAAAAGAAAACACTCTACACTCGCTAATACACTCGCATAGTCACTGACGTACCTGTTGTCGCAAATGTTTACGCTGTGGTTCGAGACCGCTGTCCTCTACTCCCGTGGACTTGCGGGAAAACCACTGAAGAATCACAGACTCTTCAAGGATTTCTTTATCGTACAAATAGTGAAGGAAAATCTGGGACACGGGAGCTGCCCACATGGCTTGCAGGAAAAACTCCTAACATAAACAAATACAAAAATGAAAGTAGTTGGGGTTGCAACTCTCCATAACCCAATGTACGATGCGATTAGATTCCTTGCCCAGGTAGTTCAAAGTTGAGCTAAGTTGGATAGCGCTATCTACCGGATAAATCAATATTCAGTGGGTAAGTGTTTGAGAAACGAAAAGGCCATCTGCACACTCCTTCAAGATCTTGTTTTCTCTTTTGTTACTGAATCTACACGTTCCAAGTATTAGTCAATTGAAACAGGAAATGAAAAGACGAAATGAATTGTGGTAATTGAAGCCAAATGACGTAATCATGACAATGGTCTATCAAAGACCTATCCTCTAGATAGTTGCATCCAACTTTGGAACAACCGAAACCTGATAAATCGACAAGCAAGAAACCTCCGTTAAATGTAAGGGACGAAAACCACAAAGCGAGTTACCAAGCATTTTCCGTGACAAGGTCAACGAAATCCCACGTTATAGCGTCTTAACACCGATTTAATTCACCGCGAAATGACAAATCAATTTTTTTTTTCTGGAAGGGAACGGAAACATTATACAAGGTACGGAATATGCTAATGCGGAGCGTCTAAAGTAAGTTTGAGAAGAGTCTGCAGAGGGGCGTCTTAGAGAAGAGACCTATCCCAGCTATACAAGAAATAGTTTAACTATGGTAGAAGACATTACAACATTAAATGCGTACAATCAGGACATTTAACGAGGTTTAAACAAACTAGAATTTTTATCAAAATTTTAAATAGATTATCTAAAAGCTCTCAATCTCCACAACATCTTTTGGAAACTGGTCAATCCGGCTGGTTTGCCACGAACTTTGAAAGCACTTTAAACAAACTCTTTGTTACCTCTGTGGCGTTCAATGCATCTCTTTGACTATCAGCCGTCTTAATGTAGTTAGAAACGATCGGCAGAAGATGCTCTGTAGCCTGAAAACAAACGCAATAAAAACAGTTAGCTGCAACAACTCTCGCCTTCAGGCTCAAGAGTCCGGCAACAACTCGTGAGAGAAAAACACTGATTTTGGGACTTACAACATGAAGGCCTAGAAAGTTAAAGAAGTTTAATCTTAATTTTTCAACTTATCAAAATTCAAACAGTGGGAGTTTCCACCAAATTGAGTTTAACACTGAAAAACCCTTTAAAATATTCAAAGAAAGAATAAATTACACAGAAAATTAAAAGGAAGGCACGGATGGACAAACTTGAAGAAGATTAAAAAGGATGGCAATTGCGGGTTTTAACAACTTGTTAGCCTAACAATTTTTCAAAGTTCATTTAGTTGTGTATAACGTTTGATATAATTCTTTGGGAGAGACATTTGTTCGATACAAAGCTGGGATTTGATCATTTACAAGTAAATTCTTCGCTAACGTTAAGTTCCTTAGCGCATAAAGACGCTTTATTGGCTAGATTAATCCTAAGAAACACGTATCTCGCAAACCCTCGCTAAAGTCTGTGTTGCACAGAAGTTAAGCCACGCCGGTGACGGTTAAAAACTGATTGGGGGGGGGGAGGGGGGGGAGGAATTTCTCTCTGATAAGAACACAACTTAACCAGGGGTACTTACCATTATCATGGGAAAACCTAAAATTCCGGTTGGAAAATCAAATGGTTTGCGCCATTCCGTTTGGGAAGCTTTAGACAATATGGACTGTTCAGCTGATTTGCACATACTTTGTGGTAGCGGTTCGTTTTCCCACCACGTCCCTCCCTTAACAGTTTTATGTTTATGCGCAAGATTTTCGCCCGGGTGGTTTTAGTAAATGGTAAGCACCCCAGGTTAACTGACACAATGTACCTTTTTAAGATTTTTGGACATATCTTGTTTCGATAAAGAGGAATCATGCAGTGACGATTCCAGTAAAGACTTGATCACTGCCTGGTTTAACTCATGAAACGTCACGTTATAAGCGAACCTGCAGTAACAACACAGGAAGCATGAGTTTTACATTACGTACCATGACAACGACTTACAAAAAAGCAATGACCAGATGGCACCCTACTAACAAGCCTTCTTTACTCGAGCAAGATTTTTATTGAGCATGCGCTGCTTGTTGCTGGGATACAGTTTCGAACCCAGGCCTAATAGCCATGCGCTGGGTACAGAGGGCTCCGTTATGAACATCGGTTTATTGTGTAAACCGACGATCGCACTCGAAAAGCAAGTTTGGCGATAGAGAACAAGATTTGACTAGTCCAGGAGTTCGGGCTTCGGCGACTTCAAAGGCTGATCGCGATTTAGGCAGTGCTTGGTTTTCTATTCCTCATTCAAGGAGAAAAAAGGGGCTTTGCTCGTGCACAGATGGTTGACCTACAATAGACCTCTTTAGCTTGTACCTTTTGTTTTCCCAAGAAAAGTCATGTCATAATACTCTAGGGAATTGTTTCTTTCAAATTTCGTTTTATTCACGTGCATATGTACGCATAATTTACGAAAAGACAAAGGGTCAAGTTCCCCCGGGACCTCTATTGAGAAAACAAAACACACAAGCTAATGAGGTATATTTAAAAGCAAGCAAAATACACTAATATTAAACAGCTCCACACCCAACCTTAGTTCTAGGATCTTCTCCTTACTCGTCCCCCGGGACGAGAGAAGGGAACGAGTACATGTATCCTGGTAACGAGGTTGCTTCTTACGAAACAGTATCCACCTTATCAGCAGAGTTGCAAATAACAGTCGGTCATCGGAAAAAGTCCGACTAAAATTGACGAGCGACCAAAAAAATCTTCCATGTGGTCAGACATGATTTCCGGACAAAGTAAACATTAAAGACTCTCAATTCATTGATGAACAAAAACCAACTTGAGCGGGATCGTTATACGTTTCTGGGAAACTGCCCACCTACTCCTCCCCTAAGTCAACATTAAGACTTACTTGTCACCGAGGGCAAAATGTTGGCTTAGGGGTGGGGTGGGGGGGAGGTGGTGAGTTTTCCAGAAACGTATAATCATCCCTTGAGCGTATGCCAATTGTCGTACCAACGAAGTAACAATCGGTGGCATTGAATATATGGCAGTGATCTGTCTACCTGCGAATCCCGCCGCGCCTACCGTGCACAATTTTCATCAGTAACCCGTAATGTGTCCCTGATTAGGGCCCCGTCCTAACGTGTCCGGATATTGTTTAAAAACGGAGATGTTTTCCTCCATTATAGCCTTCCATCCACACGTTAACAGGACTCTCTTCAACGCCAGAACCTTAAAACACGTGCTCTGCAGGGACTTTAAACATGAAGTAAAGTTGCTTAAGTTGAACAAGAGCTAAAAGCCATGGGCAAGGCTGTTACTTTCGCCTGCAGAACACAGTCCCAGTGAAAGGAAAAAGACCAAGAGAGAAACGGTATCTGGAGTGGACTGTAGTTTGACTGTACTATTAATCGATTGAATTGACTTACTTAGACGCATTAACCTCGAGTATAATGTTCTCAGGATCCACGTGATCAGCGACTCCATGCCTTATGGACTCGAGCACCTCAGTATAGAACACTGGAGTTAAAACAACGGAGTGAACCATAGTTATCAAAGTACCTTGTTACCTACATTGTCTGACAATATTCTTTTAATCGATTTTTTTTTGGCTTACTGGACGTTAGTTAAATAATCACAAATTAAACGCCATTTCTTCGCAAATATTTATACATTGACAATTTGCAAACTCGACTACAAAAGTAGTTTCATTGAAGACCTCATTAGATGGGGTCAGTTTACAAGTGCAGCCATTGTTTTCGAGTCTGAAAACAATGGCTCCAATTGTAAATTACACTAGTAAAAGTTTTATTAAATTGACCCCTGGTCGCCAAATTACACTGAAAGTTCTACAAGAAAAGTCTGATTTCCATAGGGTCGTCAGGCTCGTTCCTAACTTCCTGAAACGTTCAGCGCGATTGACTTATTTCCATATAACACCAACTGAGCGCTCAGTCGCCTATTAAAAATGCTGGACCTGACGTCATTACCTTACTAGAGTGCATTGAATTCTGGGAAAAATAATAAACGCTGGGATTTGAACGCTCGCAATTTTCACGATCACAGCAATCGTCCGTCAACAAGCAGGACATTTTAAGGACACTAAGCCGGATTGAAGCGCTTTTTGCGAAGCTTACCAACAAAATATGATAAACTAGTACTCACATCTGCCGTCTTCAGGCGGTGGGCTTCCAGGCGGAGACTGGTCTTCACTGAATTCTGAGCTTACCTCATCTTCACTGGAGCTTATCCTCTCTATACCTATAAACGCCAGTGAATACAACGTCACCTATTCGCATTCATGCCACTAAGTTCACATAAACGCTCTCTGTGAGCTATAAAAAAGTAATAAATGACTAGGTAATGATTTCCGAGGAGCACATTCACAATGTACTTCTTTGTCTACGATTTCTGACCGAATTGGAATTTGGAAATGCTGATTTTTGAGCAAAGGGGTAAAAGGAAGAACCTGACCCGACAAAAGGCGAGAGCCAATAATAAACTCAACACACATTCAGTCGATGCCGAGACTTAAACCCGAGACACAATGGTTCCCTCTTTGGTCCCCTTTGCATGTATATGTCACTCCATGTTCTGATTAGCATTATTAGAGGATTGAGTGGGTAGTCTACGCGGAGAAAGCATCTGCTAGCGAGTTTGTCGAGAAAGTTGAAAATAGAGCAAAAAAGAGAGTAAATCGAGCGGAAACGTTTGCTTCGCAGGCTAATGAGTGGGAAAGAGCTGGTTTGAAATTCGGAAGTCCCACTCTTACTCAAATCTAAAGCTCACTATTACGTAAAAGGACTCTTACAACTCTCAGTTTTTGCAAAGATACATTTACTGGCGCAAGTGAAAAACAGATCACGCGCGCCTCGCCTTTCCTCGACGAGACGATATTCCACCGTCTGTGTGTTTTACCTGCTGGCCTGCTGCTACTAGGGAGTTTACGACAAAAGGCAGAGATAATAACATGACTATAATAGCTGGCCCTTTACAACGTGAAGATCGATACTTCAACATACACAAAAAACATAACAAGAAACTTTAATGTATCATCGTGCTCGGGTACAATCAAGCAACCGTTTGAGCATCTTGGCCGTTTTACCGTTTTTCGTTAAGGTTATAAGGTGATTAAGGTCTAATACATATGAGAAATAACAAAGGCTACTCGTAACATTACTGTAAGAGCGATAGCAGTTGCTTCTCTCACTCACCCCAGATATCACCGACTTGCTCCCGTTCGTCATCAGAGTCACCGCCAGCATCCCAAATAAACCCTTGTCCCTCAGTGCCTACTACATCAGGATTAAAGCCTGCGACATAAAAACAAAAACAAACTTACGCTAATGATAAGATTTTACCCAGAAATGATCATTATTGTCACTGTTGTTGTTGTTGTCACCGTTCTCTTTGTTGTCACTATTGTCACTGTTGTCACTGCTGTCACTGTTGTGGCTTGTTGCTGTTGTTGTTAATGTTGTCACTGTTGTCGTCGTTCTCACTGTTCTGGCTGTTGTCACTGTTGTCGCTGTTGTCGCTTTTGTTGCTGTTGTTGCTCTTGTCACTGTTGTCGTTGTTGTCACAGTTGTCAATGTTGTTGCTGTTGTAGCTGTTGTGGCTGTTGTGACTGTTGTCACTTGTCGTTGTTGTCACTGTTGTGGCTGTTGTCACTGTAGTTGCTGATGTTGCTGTTGTCACTGTTGTCGCTGCTAGCGTTGTTGCCACTGTTGTCGCTATTGTTACTGTTAACACTGTTGTCACTGTTGTCGCTGTTGTTGCTGTTGTCAATGTTGTCACTGTTGTGGCTCTTGTCCCTGTTGTCGCTGTTGTCAGTGTTGTCTCTGTAGTCACCGTTGTCGCTGTTGTTACTGATGTCGCTGTTGTAAATGTTGTCATTTGTCGTTGTTGTCACCATTGTCATTGTTGTCGCTGTTGTCACTGTTGTCGCGGTTGGTAATGTTGTAACTGTTGTCACCGTTGTCGCTGTTGTCACTTTTGTCACTGTTATCACTTGTCGTTGAGGTCAATGTTATCACTGCTATCGCTGTTCTCAGTGCTGTCACTGTTGTCGCTGTGGTCACTGTTGTCACTGTTGTCACTGCTGTCACTCTTGTTGCTGTTGTTACTGTAGTCACTTTTGTCGCTGTTCTCACTGTTGTTAATATTGTCCCTGTTGTTGCTGTTCACTGTTGTCGCTGTTCTCACTGTTGTAACTGTTTTCCCTGTTGACGCTGTTGTCGCTGTTGTCACTGTTGTCACTGTACTCATGATTGTCACCGTTGCGGTTGTCATCGTTGTCGCCGTTGTCACTGTTGTTGCTGTTGTCACTGTTGTGAATGTTGTTGCTGTTGTCTCTTGTCACTGTTGCTGTTGTCACTGTTGTAACTATTTTCCCTGTTCTCGCTGTTGTTAGTGTTGTCGCTGCTGTCACTGTTGTCGCTGTTGTTGCCCTTGTCACTGTTGTAACAGTTGTCACCATTGTTGCTGTTGCCACTGTTGTCACAGTTGTCGCTGTTGTCACTGTTGTCACTGTTGTCGCTGTTGTTTCTGTTGTCACTGTTGTAACAGTTGTCACCAATGTTGCTGTTGAGACTGTTGTCACAGTTGTTGCTGTTGTCGAAGTTGTCACTGTTGTCGCTGTTGTGACTGTTGTGACTGTTGTCACTATTGTCGCTGTTGTCACTGTTCTCGCTATTGTCGTTGTTGTCGGTGTTGTCACTGTTGTCACCGTTGTCGCTATTGTCAGTGTTGTTACTGTTGTCGCTGCTGTCGCTGTTGTCGCCGTTGTCACTGTTCTTGCTCTACTCATGGTTGTCACTGTTGTCACCGTTGCCGTTGTTGTCGTTGTTGTCGTTTTTGTCACTGTTGTTACTGTTGTCGCTGTTGTCTCTTTTGTCACTGTTGTCGCTGTTGTCGCCGTTGTCACTAATGTTGCTGTTGTCACTGTTGTCACTGCTGTCAATGTTCTCGCTGTTGTCAATGTTGTCACTGTAGTGACTGTCGTGGCTGTTGTCACTGTTGTCACTGTTATCACTGTTGTCACTGTTGTCGTTGTTATCACTGCTGTCGCTGTTGTTGCTGTTGGCACCGTTGTCGGTGTTGCCGCTGCTGTCACTGTTGTCGCTGTACTCATGGTTGTCACTGTTGTCACCATTGCCGTTGTTGTCATCGTTTCGCTGTTGTCGCTGTTGTCACTGTTGTCGCTGTTGTCACTTGTCACTGTTGTTGGTGTTGTCACTGTGGTCGCTGTTCTTACTGTTGTCACTGTTGTTGCTGTTGTCTCTGTTGTCACTGTTGTCCTTATTGTCGCCGTTGTCACTGTTGTCGCTGTTGTCACTGTTGTCATTGTTGTCGCTATTGTCACTGTTGTCGTTTTTGTCGGTGTTCTCACTGATGTCACTGTTGTCGATGTTCTCGCTGTTGTCACTGTTGTCACTGTTGTCGATGTTGTCACTGTTGTTATTGTTGTCGATGTTTTCGTTGTTGTCACTGTTGTTGCTGTTGTCACTTTTGTTGCTGTTGTCGCTTTTGTCACTGTTGCCGCTGCTGTGACTGTTTTCGCTGTTGTCTCTTTTGTCACTGTTGTCGCTGTTGTCGCTGTTGTTGCTGTTGTCGCTGTTGTCACTGTTGTCGGTGTTGTCACTGTTGTCGGTGTTGTCGCTGTTGTTGCTATCTCTTTTGTCTCTGTTGTCGCTGTTGTCGCTGTTGTTGCTGTTGTCGCTTTTGTCACTGTTGTCGGTGTTGTCACTGTTGTCGGAGTTGTCGCTGTTGTTGCTATTGTCGCTGTTGTCGCTGTTGTTGCTGTTGTCGCTTTTGTCACTTTGTCGGTGTTGTCACTGTTGTCGCTGTTGTCACTGTTGTCACTGTTGTCAATGTTTGTCACTGTTGTCGCTGTTGTCGCTGCTTACACTGTTGTGGCTGTTGTCGCTGTTGTCACTGTTGTCGCGGTTGTCGCCTTTGTCACTGTTGTCACTGTTGTCGGTGTTGTCACTGTTGTCGGTGTTGCCGCTGCTGTCACTGTTGTCGCTGTACTCATGGTTGTCACCGTTTTTACCGTTGTTGTCGTCATTGTCGCTGCTGTCACTGTTATCGCTGTGGTCACTTGTCACTGTTGTTAGTGTTGTCACTGTTGTTGCTGTTGTCACTGTTGTAACTGTTGTTGCTGTTGTCTCAGTTGTCTCTGTTGTCACTGTTGTCACTGTTGTTGCTGTTGTCGCCGTTGTCACTGTTGTTGCTGTTGTCACTGTTGTAACTGTTGTCTCTGTTGTTACTGTTGTCACTGTTTTCGCTTTTTTCACTGTTGTAACTGTTGTCGCTGATTTTTGAATCTTAGTTTTCTTAGTGTTAGTTTCTTTTATTTTCCACTTTCGATTGTATTTTTTATTTTTTAGTTATCTATTATTTAGTTACAGAACCCTTTTGATAACAGTTGTTTTTAATAGAACTGAAGGTTATCCGGTATAAATATTTGCATTATTATTATTATTTTACTATAATAATTAAGTTATTTGCCTAAAAGACCAGTGCCTTTGCAAGTAAGTGAAACCTTAAATATGTTAAAAAGAAGAGAGAACCCTACCTACGCTTTGGTTGTCTTCAAGAGAAAGTCCATCCATTCCAAAGTCATCGCCTTCTGTCTGTCTTTTTAGTGTTATTTTCACACCGGGAGGAAGGACTATATCGGGTCCTATCACAACCTGGACAAAAAACAGTGATATTTAGACAGTATTAGTCAGCCAATTCAGTAAATTAAAATCTAGTAATATGATTATTACATTTTACTGTACCTATGACTTACATTAAATGAAATCAATGATCCCGTTGTGATCGTAACATTCCTACAACAAGGAGAGATACAAGAGTATTTAAAGAAAAAGCAATCAGAGACTACGTCTATAAAATACGGAAAATATAAAATACGTATTTTTTTAAAGTACATAATGTAATAATAATATCTATATCACACACTTATCTATATCTCCAGTTTTAACTTCAACAATCACTGCTGCTCATTTACATGTATAACATAGGATTTGTACTCATTTACTAGTGATACAATGCTGATCAGCTAAAAACCAAGAAAGCAAGAAAGTAGAAGAGATTGAATTCTTAAATTCTAACAAAGAATGCGCTGCCAACAGGTACAGCACTTGCAGCATACATTTCTTTGAAAATGTGAGAGTTCAGATATTCAAATTTCCATGAGTGGAGGCCAGATCTCTTCGAAACTCACAAGTCTTCTCTAGTACATCTGATGTAAATTCAATACAGAAAATAATTGTTTCTTTGCCATCCCTTTTTCCAGTATTACTGATATTGCCTCACTGACAACAAGTTACATGTAATTTGATTGTAAGTTTTCTGGGGATAGTAGGGCCAAAATGTTGTGATAGTATGAAATGCCATTGCTTTTGAGAAGTTATGGTGTTTCTGTACAGGCCAAGGGGAGAAAGTCGGACCAGCTATGTATTCTTAGTTGTCATTTTATACTTTAATGTTAAGCTATACTTTAAACTTCGTTGACAGAGCCCAAAAGGTATCACAGGGGATACAGATTCCTTCCTTCTTCCTATCACTGTATAGCCATTAGTGCATACGGAAAAGAAAGGTTAAGTGTATGGAGAAGTACAGTGTTGTTTCCATTCTCAATAATATCCAGACAAAATAGAACTATTCGCCAAATTCAAAATTGCATAGCCAATAGTGTGAACAAACTATGAATTTAAATATATGGAGAAGTACAATGTTACTTCCATTCTCAATCTATTCAGTAGCTAAACAGAATTGATTGCCAAATTTAAACTATGATGATAAGTTGGTGCACAGTGTAAGCCTGGAAGGTTGCAATCTTATAATTATCCTGATATGCAGGACTTAATGTATGGTATTAAATTTTTATGAAATATCACCTGATAACAAAATACCTCAACATAATTATTATCGTGGACAATTAAAGTAAATTACATTTGCAATAAAAATAGCCTGAAGAAACAGCTGACATTTGGCGACACTACCACTGGTTTCCCAGTCAAATGACGTCTGAGAAATGAGTGCACAAATTCCATACTGATGACGCGTCACTACCCAGATCTGGGTAGTGCTTCTCATTGGTCATTCTGCATGGGAAATTTGATTCAACCAATCAGAACCACTACCCGGATCTGGGTAGTGACGCGTCATCGGTATGGAACTCTTGCGCTCGCTTCTCAGATGGCATTTGGCGGGGAAACCAGTGGTAGTGTCACCTGTTTTCTCTGGCTAATAATAAAAAGTACCTCTTAACATGAACATTCGCGCACACAATTGATTTGGATATTTTGGACCCATCATCAATTCTCACATTATCCCACAGATGTACACCATCAAGCTGAACAAAGTCACCTAAAATTAACAACACAACAATCACATAATGACAAAAATAGAGTTTATGCTGTTAATAAACTAATAATAAAACTAATAATCAATCCATGGTGCATAAAAATGTTGATCCTTAGGAATAGTAAAGTTTTCTGAGTCAATTCAGTAAAGGTTTATACCACTCAGACTATATGCGGCCATAGTAATTACAGTATCTCACCTATTACACAATTTCTGCCTATTACAGAGTTTGTGATGACAGTTCCAGCCCCCACTGAAGTCCCTTTACTGATTAATAGATTTTCTTCTAACACACAGTCTCTAGAAAAATAAACGAATTGTTGCCATTTGTGACAAGGGTGTAAGGGTATACCTCTTATTTTACATGTAAATCTGTTACAAACACAGCTTGAGTAACTGTGTCCTTTCCTCTGGCAACCGGTATGTTATACCAGGCAAACATTTTTAAGTATAATTTAAGTCACTAAAAGGTGACTTTGAGAAAAGTTGAGCTTAGAGGACTGCCTGAGTGCAAATTAATTTAACTTGCCCTCTGGTATGGTAACAACTGTAGTTTCACAATTAACAAGGATTGTAAAAATCCAAAGATTCACTGTGACTTACAGTATGACTTCTTTTTCTCACATGAATGAATAATGTATGTAACATTTTAATAATCCCACTTACCTAGCTAATGATAACTCACTGTCCAAGTAAACATTGTGCCGTGCAAATGAAAACGAAAAATCCATAAAAAACACACTGTTATCAGGAGTTATTGGATATGCCCATCTACTCAGGATGTCTTTGCTGCAGTTATAGAATACAATAGTAAAATAATACAATTAATTAAATAATGGATGCAAAAAAAAGAATTTTGAAATTTACCACGTAAACAATGTCATACATGAAAATTAACACAGTTAACAACAAGGAGTGCTGTCTCCTGTTGTCGGTCAGCAGGGCTGTCAATAAGGGCCAGTGGCCAGCCAAAAGTGCCGGCTATTTAGCCATCCTTAGCCAGGCTACTTTTATCTCCTTGTACCACAACTGCTAACAAAAAATAAGCACCATTGAATAAAATTTGTAAAGCATCTGTTTCCCAGTTTTGAATGACACTGAACGCGTATTTAAACAGGTTTAGATCTGTGAAATGTTCGAACCATGCGACGTCGTGGAATGCTTCCAGTGGGGACATCTTGACGGTATTGCTCCTGTTCTAGCATGTATTCTGACGAAACAACATGGCGTCGGCAGTGAAAAATACCTCTTGAAAACCCCTAGAAATGGCATTTCTGAGACTCTAAATTTCAAAATGTCCCTAGATACCTCAGCCCTCAAGAACTTGCGCCTTCGGTGCAAGTTCCAAAGCCACCTACTGTTCATTATCAGCCTGCTTCTTAAACACTTTTTGACAGCCTTGGGTCAGTGGTCAGTTTAGTGGCTCATGCACAGTCGTTTGTTTACAACAGCACAACTTTTATTTTTTTTGGTTCATTCACTTCATTTAGCCTTTGGATTGTGCATTTAACCCCGCCCCTACCCCACTCTACTTTTCCACTGTTAATCAGTGTGACAGGTGCCTGGTTGCATTGGTGTGGGGGCTCATGACTGGAAGGTATGGGGGAGCAAAGGTGGCGCAGTGGTGAGAGCACTCGCCTCCCACCAATGTGGCCCAGTTTCGAATCCTGGCATCAACACCATATGTGGGTTGAGTTTGTTGTTGGTTCTCTTCCTTGCTCCAAGAGGTTTTTCTCAGGGTAGTACAGTTTTCCCCTTTCCTCAAAAACCAGCACTTCCAAATTCCAATTCAATCTGGAATGCATGGACACATTTCAACAAGTTCTTAAGAACTCCTAAGTGCTCCATGGGTAAACAAATTACAAATTCCAATTATTACAATGGCACGTAATATACTGTCAAAGAGCTGGCTTTGCCAAAAGTGGAAGCCCATAGACAACTTGGGTGTCCATCTCAACCAAGCACAGTTCTTAATGAATGTTAAACAAATCAAGGACATATTTTTTTTCCAAAGTCCATACCCATTACAAGTAAAGAGGAATTCAAGGCAGAAATGGAAATTTTACAGCTGAAAAAACACTGTGTATTGAAACTAAAATGTGTGAATCAATTTTATTCAAAGACAGTTCACTCACCTGACAGTATCGTACATGTAAGGATTTGAAACTCTAGCAACATACTTGTTGCTTATAAGAAATGAATGAATCTGATTGCCCATTATCTAAAACAAGAAAAATATTGTGACAAATATGAACAAAACGAAAATTTTATTGCACACAAAAAGAACTACAACCAGAGAAGTGTGTAGTTTACATATCAGCAGAGTTAAAAATATGCAAGTAAGCATCCCTCAGCAACAACAATGCACAGGGCTGAGACTACATGTAATTCTTGATGCATTTTTGCAATGAAATAGAAAGGGAAAGCAGGGAATTTGACATTTTCTTGTGTTGCCAATATTTGAATGCTCTTACTGTACATTTTATACATGTAGGTCAATATATATATTTACACAAGTACACAATGCACCGAACAAAATTAATTCAATGCACTTAAAATCAACATAAAACTTTAAAATGAAAGTTAAATCAGCCTTAATTTGTATTTTCTGTGCCCCACTATCTGGGCCCACAGCCCATCTTCAACATAAAATAATATTAATCAGCTTTGAGCCAGCTTTTCAACTAGTTGTAGGCCTGGCTGACTTTCATTTCCACACATCCTGAAAATTGCATGCATAACTAGTATGCACCAACCTGACCAACACTTTGAGCTCTTAAGCTTTTTAGCTCACCCCAAGAATGCACTTATTACAAGCGGTAGAGTGATCAAACCAAAACTTTGTAGGCCCGGGCCTACAGGCTGATAGGCTGGCTAATATACTGTGACCCCTGATAATAATAATGTCAGTAATAACGAAAAAGAGCCTTACCTCTTCATTTACAAGGATTCCTCTGACAAAGTCATCTCTAGTTTGGTAATCAAAATTATCTGTAAACAACTGTGGAACCTAAGAAGCAACAACAAATATAATTTTAGTCAGATGCCTTTTACGTGTCCGGCTGAACCTCTCTTAAGCAGCCAAATTGGTGTGCGAACTTGGCTACTTGATAGAGGTTGGCCGCTCAATAGAGGTTTGTCATAAATTTGCATAATTTTTAGCACAAACATCACCTTATTTTGAAACAAGTATGCAATAAGAGTGTCATTACTGGTCCACAATCGGCCGTCACCTACTACATGTATCTCTGAATTGTATTTTCCTTCATTACATTTTTAACATAAAACCAAACTAAGAGTATCGAGCCCTTGATGGCCACTTTATTAAAGGTAACAACAAAAGGAGAACTCTCATTGGGATGGCAAAAAGGTAGGCAGGGCTGCTCGATGGAGGTGGCCACCTGATAGAGGTTTTAGTTACTTCAATTACTGCCCAATTAATAGCAAGTGGCTGCTTAGTACAGGGCTGTCATGAAGAGAAGGGGACCGGGGATTTCCCCTGACTATTAAGAACGTGGCCCCCAGCTACTTGCATAGGAAAATAGAAGCAAAATAAAACCAAAAGAAATCCCTAGCTGTTTGATTCTCCGCCTACTTAGCCAGCAACTTGAAATCTTAGTGACATCCCCGTTAGTACATAGAGGTTCAACTGTACTACAGTTAAAAAAAATTAAACAAAAAATAACAGGTAACTCACCGTTGTTGAGCATATAGAAATGTTACAGTCCAAGAGATCATATCTTATTTGAATATCATTGTTTCCTGTGAATAAACTCTGCAGAAAGAAATTTAAAAAAAGAATCATGATTATTTTGAGTCGCTGGACAGGGTGCAAAGAAAGTCAGTTTTACAGCTTGCCATTTGGGCAAGCTGTAGATAGCATGTACTAGCCCAAGACTCATTTTAACTAGTCCAAAAAATATATTATTTTGATGAGCAGGATTGATAACAGTTCATCTGTGATTTGAATTCCTCAAAAAACCTCACCTGCCAGTTGGGCAAGTCAAGAATAGAATTCACTTACCCAATAGCTAAATTCACAAGCCCTGGGCTACTAGACATGACTTTCTTTACATGCCACTGTTCCGATTTAAGAAGGTTAATGATGAATTGTTAGAGAAATACAAAAAATAATAAAGGGGGGCATGGGAAAAGGCCATAAGTGGTTACTGGCAGTCTACATTTTCCTTCCAAACAGCCTTGCTTTAGCTTATGAAAAAAGGCAGAATTTGATGTTAATCAGTTATGACAAGGATTAGTGTACACTGGACCTATTTGATTTAACCCTTCAAGACCTAATATCCACACTTAAATTCTCCAGACTGACGTCCATTCATTTCCTTACGAAATTAGCAGAGAGAATTTGATGAAAGATCAAAGAATTTTTCCCTTCTAATGGTGATCATTTTATTAATTCTAATAACTATTTTTCTTTATTACATATAATTGACATTGTTTGGAGAAGATTGTTGTTGGTCACTCTTGGGAAATAAAAGGTTAATAACCCTTTAATCATTTGAAAATTAATTTAAAGAATATTAATTCATTACCAAAGGAAATGAGAATTGCTTTTTGCTAGCTGTCTTATCACAGTGTAGAATTCTCCCTGTTGTTGAATCCATAGCAACTATAAGGTCTTCTTCCCGGCACCTACGATAATTATACAAAAATTAAAGTGAAAAAAAGGTTACAAAAAAAGGTAACGGGGTTGGTGTATAGTAATTTTGCAATTTCATTCCAACATAACTTAAAATAATAATATTAATGAATCAGTTAAGGTAATTAACAGACACCTTGTCCTGTGTCCAGGATTAGCGACTTTAAAGACCATCGTCATGAGTGATGATTTATCCTTTTTCCGTCTGTCTCTGTCAATCAAAAGGACACTTTCAATACAGTGGAAGCTCAATATCATGGATCTTTACATCTTAGCCACACCCTCTGTATAACAAAAAAAGAATCTTCTTTGGGGCAGGAAGGATGATAGATAAGGAGAATAAATAGGCAATATTAAGATCACTTTTAAAACAAATATTGATCTTAAACACAGAAAATAAAAAAATTACCTGGTTCGAAAAAAAAGGTGACCTACAACGTACAGTCTCGGTAAAAATTGTTGGGGACTCTTTACTGTCTTCACACCCTCCCTCTTGATAAACAAAATTTGGTGAGTTAACTGCGATAAACAACATTGGGAGGGAGAGGAGATGGGCAAGAAGGAAAAAAACAGTGTTCAGTGGAAGGGTCCCAAATATTCGTCTGATACTGTAGCAAGAACAATGATTACCGCAAGTTGTAAAAAACTGTTCTTATATAAATTTTCAACTAAAAACAACATGTACATGTGCAGGTATACATCCCAGTGAAGCCTACATGCATTAATAAATATTATTAAAATACACTATACAACTGGAGTGAGTGACTACACCAACAAAGTTTGAATAAACCGCTTCTTTAATAGGGAAAGAAGGTGCGTAGGTGACTTCTCTGAGGGGGGAAGAAGCCAATGTTTTTCATCCACCATTGGTGCTTATTGAAAGCACTGGTGGTGCTACTAGACAGCAATGGCAAATAACACATTCTCATTGGCCAACAATCTCACTATCTGACAGCTCACAAAGAGTAAGAGAAAAACTGGGTCTCACGCCATTATATAAACTTGGTAACAACCACCACCGTGATTTTAGGGATAGAATACTAATAATTTATACCATTTGAGTGTTAACCTAAAATAATGCTAAAAATAATTATTTGGTACTACCAAAATGTACATGACTGGACATGTATGTTGTTATCATATGGCAAGGCACCAATATCATGCTAACACCAGTGTAAGGGGGCTGGAAAAGTCATTCATTTAAATGGGGATACATAATATTGGGGTCCTACTCTGTACATTGTGTATAACTGCAGACAGAAAATGAAATTTGTTGTACACTGTACATTTACCAAGGGATTGACTGTACAAAACTTACTTGTGTTCCTTCAGAACTTGATCTAATTTCATATTTGATACTATGTCACCACTTACTAAAACAAAATCATTCTTGAGAAAAGACTGCAAAAAAAAGAGTTACAAATAGGTAATTATAATAAAAAAAAAGCTTAAAAAATGTTGATCAAGTATTCAGTCATCAAGTTAAATTGCTCACAAACAAATGATTACGTGTAACAATAATGCTTTTGTACCTGTCTGTCAATTTCTCGAAGAGCATCTCCTAGAGACAAGCAATCTTCAAAAACAATGGTTTTCACATCACATGGACCTCTTGAGCTTGTCCACTTTGATTGACTGCCAGGAAACAAATCATTGTTGTTGGAATAGAAATTATAACATGAACACACACAATCTGGACGATAAGAAATGCAAATACTAATTGAAAGTTGAGGGGGAAGTGTTATGGTCCCACCCTTCGAAGAAAAATTTCAGGAGCTAAGTTCAATGTCTCTCCTTCATTTTCATGATACCTTTTTTCGGCAAATCAGCATGGTAAGCTATCTGCCTTCAGATCAGAGGTTAAAAACTTATAACAATTTTAAAATTTACTCTTAAAGAGTTACAATTTATACAATGTACTTTATAAAAGCAGTAATTTTCATGCAGTGTTACCTTTAGGGTGGTCTACATGAAGAATTGTTTTGAAATCAGCAGTCTGTCTGCTTCGGATCTTTGCAAATCTGTCTACACTCATTTACAGTCTTGAATATCTAAACTTTAGCATTCACGAAGGCTTTTATTTTTTAGCATCCTGTCAACCATTATTGATCTGACCAAAAAATATTTTAATCACCTCAAAACAAAGAATTTTATGAATGAAGGCAGCCTTTGCTAGTAGGGTCAATTCAGTAACACAAGTTGCAGAAGTCGAAAACTTTTCCTGCTGGTCAAGAAAGTCTAGAATTGTGATAGAAGCCCACAAAAAAATTGTTCGCCTGCAATGCTTTGAAAGGTACCAGTAAGCATTTTAAATAAAGTACTCATAGACAAAAGCTGTGTATACTTCTTGTTTATTCCCTATTTCTTTTCTTGTGAGGGATTGGCTTGGATCACAACTTGCATATTTTTTAAACAACTTATGTAATTTTAGTAACACTTCAAGTGGTTACAGGAGGCAAGAAGTGTTGCTCAAGCCTTAAATTTTACCAGTTACTACCTGATAAGGAGAACACTTTAAATGAAGAGTCACTTTTAAAAGCTTTTAAAGCCATTTTCCTCAGACTCTTTCTACTGTTCAATCAATCAGTCAATAAGCTATATTTATCCTCAAATTTACAGTGTAGCACTCAAGTGCTAATAATTATCTTCGAGCCATCACCATCACCACTCAATTGTCACGCACCTTAAATGTTTCTTGATTTGATCAACATGTCTACAGCAGAAGACAAAAATTTCCTGGACTCCAGCTTCAACAAGAAATTCAATAGTGTAATCCAGGAGAGGAACATTTACCAATGGTAGCAAAGCCTATAGGTATAATAGACAAATAGTTCAAGAACTATCCTTATAATCATGATCAGAACTGCAATCCACAGCCACACCTGACAACAAAAATAATAACATTACTTCAGAAAAAACAAGGCCAAATGGCCTGTACGTTGGACCAGCAATCCAAAAATCTTGGGTTCAATTTCCCACTCTGACCATGAGTAGTAGCCTTTTTTCAATCTTGCCTTCGACCAGTTGGCATCTTTTAATCCTCCTAAGTGTTCTGTTTGGATTCTTTACAAATATGTTTTAAATTATATGAGTTTAGTGCCTGCACAAATTTAATGTTTATATAAAATTTTTTCTGTTTTTTCATTCTGTTTTTAAAGCCACTAACTGGAAATTATTGCAATCGAACAAATACATGTTACAGTCATTGCTTCTGTATACTTGCAGTACCAACAAAGTTCATCGAGCAAATCAAATCAGTCATGCAGGTAATACGCTGTTTATAAGACTTGACAGACAGACTCGCATGACATTTTATACTCTGTTTAGGAAAAACTCACATACTGTCCAGGAGCAGATCCAAATAAAGGCCAAGCTCCTCCCCCCCTCCCCCTAGGGCCGAATTTGACCGTTTGCCGTCATTATAGGTTATTGAGGAAGCACCTCTTGTACATTCATCATGCATGCAATACTCAGATAAGGGCACCAGAATCTCTCAGAAGGAAAAATTAACTCCCTAGCGGAGTATGGGGTTGGACACCTTATGACGCCTATACAAAATAATTGCTTCTATTAAGCAGTGACTGTAGTGATAAGGGTTAAGCACTGTAAATAGTGATTGGGGCTAACCACTGATTACGGTTAAGTAATGACTTGGATTTGGTTAGCTTTCATTTATTGTTAGGGTTGTCACTATGAATATCTAAATTAAAACTCTTTTGGGCAGCAATTCCTCCGTGGTCTAGTGGATAGGGTGATGGATTGTGGACCCACAGTGCTGGGTTTGATCCCGCTTGACATATTTCTTGACTTCCTTTTTTTTCATTTAAAATTGAAGAGACTTAGTCTTTCATGACAGTTCTTGAGCTGAAATTTCAAAAACTTAGAAAAAGGCTTAGAAATTTCATGTAAACGCATGTGAGAGGGATAACCCAATACTCCGCCCGGGAGAACAGAACATGTTGTACAATTAGCTAACTAAACAATAGATCAATGACCCAAATGATACCCTAACAGGCCATTTTCACTGAGAGGTCATGTGACATTGTTTTTATGAAAATGAAAGTTAAATGATTTTTGCCTTCAAAAAATGATTAGCGGGTCACATCTTAAACAAACTAATGGTGATTTGGTTTTTCAAACCGGCACCATTTTCTTAAAATGAGTAAGTTCATAACAGGTCATGTGACCAAAATGTGATTTGTAAAATTATAAATTACCTCTTTCTGAACACAAATTTTGCACTTAAACTTTGGAAAATGTTGAAAATATGATGTGGTAACGTTTACAGCACATCTCAGCGTAACTATCAAACGTTTAACGAGATATCAGCATAAAGTAGTTTTGGCCACCATGTTGGAGGCCAAAAGTATGCCCTCCAACATGGTGGCCAATACAAATCATACCACTTTGGTGAAAAATCAAAGTCCCATAAAATATCTCCCTTAAATGCATTTCTGCTAAAATTTCGGGCGTAAGATAACTTTTATGTGCTCTGTCAATTTTTGGCATCAGCAAGATTCCAACTCATTGTTTAAAGGAAGCACTGGTCACGTGACCTCTTAGTGCAAGTGGCCTATTCCCACAAACAATAGCAGGCGTACTTCCAATTTAGATCGATGAGAATAGGAACTTGCTTAGACCTTCCTCAGCTCACAGAACAGAAAATAAAAGAATGTTTTATCGAACATCTTCATAACAAGGGGCCTGCAACGGGGGAGACGCATCAATACAAGACATTAAATAAAACGTTTTATAAATTTATTTAAAGAAAACTTAATTTTGAAACAAAAAAAAACGAAAAAAAAATTAGCTGGGAGGAACATGTGATTTGGAGTTCACTTACCCTTGGTGTCTCAAGAGTTATCGGTAAGAATCTGAAGTTGAAACTATCTGTAAGTATAACAGCTTGAAACACTTCTTCCGCTTTCTCTAACTCCCCAGATCGTCCATCACTTTTCTTCTTCTTCGAACTCATGGCTAACTTCTAAACAAACATGGCGCCTTCGAAAGTGATTAGTTTCCAGACTTCCCCAAACTTGTCAAACGACGATCTCCGAAAATTTTCCGGAAATCTTTCCGACGATTTCCGAAAAACGATTCGCAGTAAACAAAGCAGCGGTTTTACCCAATTTTTCCCTTCCACGTCTTCCCTTTGTGTTGTTTCAAGATGGTAAGTTCTTCAACTGCAGAATCTGGAAAATATCTGAGCCATCTTTGGGCTTTTTCTTTCAAAAGTGGCATAAAAGAATAACTTAGTTATTCATTCACACTTTGTATTAATTTCTAGGGTTGTTTCTTGTTACAAAAGATGTATTTTTCACTTTTCAGGAGGCACTAACGATAGAGCAGATGACCCGATATGCTAGTCCAATCAATCCAGCCGTGTTTCCTCATCTGACGATCGTGTTACTTTCTATCGGAATATTCTTTATGGCTTGGTTCTTTGTGTATCCTTTGATTTATACCTGTCGCGTCTTAGTTCCTATGAAAAAAAGCTTCGATCAGCATGAACAGTTTGGTCTATATGATGCTGCCCGTCTGCAGTTTTTAGTGGATTTTCAAGATTTTAACTCTTTTTACAGAAAATAATCCCAGGTATTCTGCATTTAAGCCAAGTCCTAAATTTCTTGACAGATTGAGTCGCATTTAAGGTTTTTACCGTTAAGGAAAATATTTTGTGTCCAACTCTGATTGTTGTGTTCATTGTGTCACGCAATCTTAAACAAGAATTATTACACTTTCCTTCCAGTTATTTTCAGTTAATGGGGTAAATGGGGTTGATGCGAATTTAGTTGTTTAGAGGATCTGTGATTTCATGACAATGATGATGATAATAATATAATAAAAATAATAATAGTAATAATGATAATAATAATAATCTTCATTCAATACTATACCTGGCAACTTTTTTAAATTTATAGGGGTGATATTTTTAGATCTTTTTATCCTGGGAGTGCCAGGATTTTTCTTAGGAGTCAGATAATATCTGAAGATGTCTGAAAACGTTCCAAAGAGTTCCGTCTAACACAAAAACAGGAACATGAAGAAACAGTGACTTTCCCTACTAAAATAAGAGAATCCGGAGAAAGTTGATCATTCACATGGACTTGTCTTTACTCTCATTGGTTCCAGTTTCTTTAAGTAATTAACATGTTTTTCAAAATGTGTCAGTTGATACTGTAATGACTCAAACATTTCTACCAGGCGCAAGAAAATTATTGGAATACAGTCGTGAGTAGGCGTGAGATCAAAGTTTTCGATCTTCATGTGTGACAGTCATGCTATAGGCATGACACTTGGCAGGTATGCAACACAGGTTCTCGACAGTTTGTTGGAGTCTTCCTTTTACATCAGGTCACTGCCTGAGACCTTGGCTGTCTTAACCTTTTAAGCCCTGAGATTCACATACAAATTCTCCAGACTTATCTCCATGCATTTCTTTCAAGAACAGAATTTGGTTTAAGATCAAAGCATTATCCCTTTGGTAATCAACTGAGTAACTCTCATAACCTTTCCTCTTGATGATCTGCAGGTGCCAGTTGCCCAAAAGGTGGATAGTGCAATCCACTGGATAAATCACTATCCACTGGATAGCGCAATTGGTTTCCCTAATACTTATCCGATGGATAGCGTTATCCATCTTTTGAACAACCAGGGCCTGATGTTGTCAGGAGAAAATTGATGTTGGTCACTTTTGGGACCTAAAGGGTCAAGACTTTGTGAAGGATTGTGGCATTTCCCAGTAAGCATGCTCTCTGTAATAATGTGTGGTTCCAGAAAATATCCATACCCCCGCCCCTCACAGAAGATCTTTGGAAATTCCAAGGGGGAGAGGGGGTTCAACGGCAGCTATTTCTGAGGGGTAAGGGGTTCATGGGAAACAACTTTTCCAGAGGGTGACGAACCACGAACAAAACACTGAAAGTAACGCGCAATCGATCGTAAGCACAAAAACATACGTACGTTGTTTTGAAACAAAAATCACTACTCCTGGCCATTGAGATGAGGTTAACATCATTAGCTTTAATGTTTCTGTTTTTCTTTGAGTTAGCTAGCGCTACAATCTCCAGAAGAACGATATGGCGGACATGACTGGAGTCAGAGTCTTGTCCCCAGACTTCCAGCTTTGTCTCGTTGTGCGACCAACATTTTAGTGCTTTCAGTTCTGTTCACTGAGCATCACTTTTCGCTACCTTTACATGCAGGAAACGCATTTTTGATACGTTTCATCTTTTATCAGTGGTTGTTCGTGGTAGTAACTCATAAAAAAATGCGATGAGAAAAGAGAACTTTCGTTCTCATTTCTTGCTCGATCTTCAGAAGGCCCGGGTACCTAGCAAGTAAAATTTCTTCAGCCTGATCATGACGATGTTCATGAAAACTAGCGCGTTGGCATGTGTTAGTGAAGGTTTTGGTCCTTAAATAAGAATCAACCTGAAGAAACTGTCTAAATGTGTAGACAAATAAACAGCCAGAAAGGAACCTTGTAAGTTTCTGGGGTTTTTTTGCTATTGTTTTCTAAGTTGTTTAGGCGAGTGAAAGTAAAGTTCTCTTCATAATGTTCGCATCGGAGTAAGCACAAAAACGTAAACAATCTATGTTTTAAACTTTACAACCCAAATGTTTAAGCTTATAAGCTTACATGAAAACTAGACAGGTAGAATTTGTAAATTTGATGGTGAAGTAGCTAAAAGTTTAGGTGAATAATAACCTTCACAAAGGTTTACATTGTTGTAATAAAATTCAACCATATTTTCGTAAATGAGTAAGTATCCACATTCTGTTTTTTTAAAGTACCAAAACCACTTTGACATAAAGAAGTCCCTGATTAAAAATTCAGGAAATTCCTGGGGGGAGGAGGGTCATCTAAGACCCCCTTGGAACGGAAAATCCTGGGTGGTGGGGGGTGCAAATTAAAGAGTCTTCCCTGGGAGGGGTATGGATATTTTCTGGAACCACACAATTCTAAACAACATGTGCTGCCAATCTCTGCCAACTACTTTCTATAATTTATTATTATTATTATTATTATTATTGTTGTTGTTGTTGTTGTTGTTGTTGTTTTTGCAGATCAATTTAGGTTTCTGGCCACCTAACCCTCCCCTAAGCGAACATTTTGCCCTAAGTAAGAAGTAAGTGTTAATGTTAGCTTAGGGGAGGGGTTGGTGGGCAGTTTCCCAGAAAATTAATGTAAATTGAAATTGGGAATGGTGCATGCATGATGTAATAACTTCCTTGACATTTACCAAAGCTATGAAGTCACCTCTACAAAGTACAACAGAGACATCTACAAAGAACTGCTTGTATCTTTAGTTGCTTCTCTTTTCATGGGATTTGGAGGGCTTTTCCTGTTACTTTGGGTCGGAATTTATGTTTGACAGTAAAAACTTTGCTGCTGCTAACAGAAGCCATCCATGATGAATTTTTAACATACTGTAACAACTCAAGGAGAGCAGTCTTGATCAGACTGACAAAGTTTCTATGTGGACTTGTATTTTAAAAAAGAGAATTTCTTAAAAAGTGATAGAAATAAAACTATTTGATGTCTTTGTTTAAGACAAGAGTTTGAGACTTCTGTAGTTGGTGTGTAGTTTTTTGCAATTTACAAAATGTTGTTTTTTTAGACGTTTTGCTTGAGGGAGCTTATTTCCTTGTAATAATGTAAGTTGGTATATTCCAGCTTGTTATATAGCTCAGTAGATAGGTGAGACAGTGCATGGAAAGAATCCTAAACAAAACAACAGCACAGTAGAGGTTGCATTTATTTTTGTTTCTGTGCTGTTATTTATATCAAGATGGTAATGTAGCCCCTACTTGTGAAAAGTTAGATATTTAAGACAAAATCCATCAGGAAATTGAGTAATTTCGATTTTCAGTGGACAAAAACCTTGTACCAGAATAATTTAAGCAATATTGCATTTTTTTTTTACATTTTTCAAGGGTTATAGATCTAATCAGTTCTCTGTAATAACACCAAAGAAAATTTCTTATTAGAGCCCAAGAAAATAAATGTCAAATTTCACAAAATCTTGCACATGAAATTTTCAGAATTTTACCTATGTTTTCACAGTTTTTGTGAAATGTGACATTTAGTTTCTCGGGCTCCCATGAGAAATAGTCTTTGGTGTTATTACAGATAACTTTTTATATCTATAGCCCTTGAAAAAATGTAAAAAAGAATGTGATATTGTTTAAATTATTCTGGTACAAGGTTTTTGTCCACTGAAAATTGAAATTACTCAATTTCCTGATTGATTCTGTCTTAAAGTAATTCAAAACAAGTTAACTGTGTTTCCTTGCACCAGCCGATGTGGGGAATTTTTTGATTCAAAGTGAGAGGTGCCTATTCAAACAGACACTAGTTGCTGCTAACTGGCCATTTATTTACGTATTATTTAAAAATAATATTTGTATAAACATTAACAATGACCTATAATAATATTTATTGTGTATGACCTGTTTCTGTTTGTACAGTTCTATATGTAAAAGCAGCACACCTCATCTGATTATTCATGCCATACTGTTGTCAAACTGAAATACCGTATTTCCTTGAATAATAGCCTTCCCTCAATTAATCGCCTCCGTCGAATAATCGCCCCTCTTTAACAGAAATATTTCAAATAATCACCTCCTTTGAATAATCACCCCCCAACCCCTCTCAGCATTTTCTCTTTCTTTTATTCCGTCCCTGTTGAGTTAAAAATTGACACCTTGGATCTAAGCTGAAGGGAGTCTGATGCAGCAAGACTGATCGGTGCCGATTCAATCTCTGACGTTGAGGATGCTGTGTTGATGTTGAAATTAACCAAGGAACCAAAGTTGAAACACTTATAAAGCCCATGTCCAGTATATTTGAAGTGTTTATTTTTTGAGTTAATGGGATAACAAAACAAAATATTTAGGGCACGACTTCCAGTGAGCAGTATTTGAAATAATCGTCTCCCCTCGGATAATTGCCCCCGGCTATTATTCAAAGAAATACGGTAATTTTTATTGAATAAGGGGGAGGTGGGGCACTTTAACTTAGTGATGGGATATGACTTGTTAGTGGAGGGTACTTAATCAAGGGGAAATTGACCCACTAGAGAGAAGATTTACGGTATCTGTAGTCTATAGCTGGAAACATGTTTTGTCTCTCATTAGCATTCGTGGTGCTTGAAGTGTCCAAGTTGTGTACTTCACTACTGGACAAAATACCTAAAGCTTCTCTCCATTCACTGCCTGTGGTAAATAAGGGATATGTAGGCGATCGTGGCAGTAGCCAGTCAGTGCTTCTTGATATGATTGGTGATTTTCTTAGTCTGTAACCCGTGTAACTACTCCGATAGTCAGCACTTGGGTATTGCGTGACAGCACCTGTCGTTACATTGTGCGTGACAGTGGATGATAACTTGCCCTGAGGCTGCAGTAGAGCTTGTGAGTATGGAGGTGTTGTATTGATCCCATGTAGTGCGTTGCCCTTCTTAACTGAAGCTTTTGCTTGCTGTAGTTTGCGTCTTTCTACTCCTATCTCCGGAGTTTCTTTCACTGAATGAATTCCGTTCAACTGCCTCACCAATGTTTTCTTCTCATTGTGGATCTGACCATTTCTGATTGAGTGTTCCAGGTGTATAGTGCGTAACTTGTCCTGCAGTCGCCTGTCCTCCAAGGTATTTGAGCGTCTCACTCTAGCCACTCTATTCGAGAAACAGGATGGAGGATCCCTATTGAAAAGAGTCAGTTCTCCTTTGCGCGAGATTCCCCAAGTCAAAGTCGACATTCTTTGCAAAATTAAGTACTTCCTTTTTTGCTATAAATCTTTCCGGTGCAAATTATTCTATTTTCGCGAAAAGCAGTGACAGTTTTAAATGTTAGTCAACATGGTACAGGTGTATCCGTGGCCTACCTGTAATGTTGTAGAAAGCGACAAAGATAAGGAAATCAGTGAAATATCGAGTATGAATTTACATCCAGTATCAAAGTCTAACTTAAAGCCAAGGAGTTTCCTAGCGTCCCGTGCTCTTAGCGTTCCGTTTTATACCAGCTTTGAAGTCGCGTTTATATACCCCTGTGTCCTCTCGAATGCAGTATATTGGATGATGCATCCAAACTAGAGCAGCTACCGAGTAAACATTTCCTCAGTTGCAAAGAGAATCCCAAACGATGTCGACGATTTCAGTCCGTCATTTCATACCCCTGCTAAATCTTCCGGTCTCTATAACGCAGTAATTAAAGATATGTAGTAATCAGTTTACGTCTGACGAAAAATCGGACTTAAATCAAGACGAACCTTGTCTTGAACATCGTCCCTCCAGTAAACCGGTCTGTTAAATGGGTGTAAAACAACCCGTAATGGCTTTCTGTGATGGTTTATCGCGAAGCATCAAAAAGCAATCACAAGAAACTTAATACGACCGCAAACGTGCAAGAATTTAGACATGTCATCACCGATATAAAATATCTATAGAGATTATCATCACAGGTTAATGAGAATCCCTGCTTAAAATTTTTAAAATTCTCTTGTAATTGATCGAGCTTGGCGGATTGAATGATGTACGCTTTTCCTGAGCTTCGGTTTCGAGTGTTTTTGCCTCCCCAAAATAATAATAATAATAGTAATAAACTTGGTTACCCCTAGGCTATCGTTGAAGTCCATGTTTCTGTCAGGAACACATGTCACAACTCTGACAAAATGCTTAGTACAGAGCTGACGGGGCTGAAGAGACATTTCACATATCCTACAGTCTGTTTGTCTGCAAAGTGGATTCCCGCTAAAAAAATGTTTTTACCACCCAAAATTCATAAGTATTGTTTATTTGTTTTTGTTTTCTCACTAAATCCCCACATGGAATAAGTGATTTGTTTACTATTACGGCAGGTTGACTAAGGGACGCAATTTGAAATTGATATAAAGTAAAATATTGGAACTTGAAAATATTAATTAATATGTTGAAGAAAGATTGCAGGTATTGAACAGGGAGGCTGCCATCTAGCTGTGTACAGACGCCCCCCTTCCCTCGGAAAAAATCGGTGTCTCTCCCCCGAATTTCCTGAAGGGAGACGGGAGTCTGTGCACAGGCCAGGTCCTAACCATGGACCCGTGGCGCTGGTCGAAAGGATCGCAGATCTGGGAACAAGAAGTGGGCCAGAGCTGCCTGTGCAACAATCAAACCGAAATCTATTTTCTAAGTCTTTTGTTTTGTTTTGGTTTGGTTTTTGTTTCTTCTTTTTTTTTTAACCCTTCAAACCAGATTCTCTTTTCTATGTTTTTTTTTTTTTTTTTTTTTTTTTTTTTTTTTTTTTTTTTTTTTTTTTTTTTTTTTTTTTGCTAATATAGAATTACGATAGGTCCGATAGGGCTCTGTCCTCGTGGACATAAGAATAAAAATAAAGCTGATCATAATTTGCAAGGTTGATCGTACTTTGCGAGGCATAAACGAAGGTTGTAGCCGTTGCAGATGTTTCACCATTTTTGTTACCCATCAGATCAAGTGGATACACACCCACCGAGGCGAATAACGCCATACCACGTGCTTAAGGGCGCTTATGGGACGGTCAAGAGCGGGGCAGATAACCCTGCTGGTCAAGAGTCCAAGTGGCGCGTTGTTGTCTTGCAGAAAATACAGGCTGGCTAAAGACAACTTTGTGGAAACAAGTGACGGAAATTAAATAAACGGACAAAACCCTGCTAAGATGTGAAGCATATCGGATATTTAAAACAGATCTATAACCTTAATTTTTCGGTTTTGACATAAAAATACCATAAAAACTTTCGCGAGGAAGGACCCGAGATTTTACTGACTTTCCGGCAACATGAGCAGCCCTTTTCAGACTTACTTTTTAAAATGCTTTTGGTCGAATCGCTTCTTAGGGAAAAGTTACGGTATGTGACGATCTGACTCAGCGATGCAGTGCGACTCAGTGAAAAAGTTAACAGTTGTACTGACTATCCTCTGGCTCCCGATGCAGTGCGACTCAGTGAAAAAGTTAACAGTTGTACTGACTCTCCTCTGGCTCCTGAGCAGCGGGGTGTACCCTGCTTCTGGAAATATGGGAATGTAATTTGGCACTTCCAAATCGAGTCATCCGGTCATCAATTAATCATTTGGCTGTCTAGGAGTTAACAACGCTTCACCAATCTCATCCCGAGGGCTTCTCCCCAGTTTTCCCTCCTATTTTCAAGAGGAAAAGCCCTGGGGACGAGTTCGTCGCAAAAAAAAAAAAACGCAAGACTCGCCTACGGGGCTCTGGGGCTATTTTTCTATTTTAAGAATTGCGTGGGATTCTACACGAGAATTAATTCAATAGAAGTGTCCAAGAAAGTAATATAGTCTGTTCAAATCAACAAATTTGATATAAGAAGGGGATTAAAGTCGGCGTCCCTTGTCAGTCATCCAAGGTTCGTAAATCTTGTTAGTGGTTATAGCTCATTTCCTCCTAGTAACTGATCGTGATGTCGTCCACGAAAACGAACATTTTTAATTAATGCTACAACCGGTCGATCTGAAAATTAGGTACAGCTATAGGCTTGTTCATACGAGGGACCATATCAGATTCAATGCACACGTATCGTCTGCTGGTCATTTTAGTACTGGCTTATAAATCAAGATTTTCTCCTTTAAAACTTTCATGTTTTCGGTTTTGTCCTGGTTACAGTCCAGTTAATACGGCCTTTAGAGCCTAGGCATTCAAATCGGCAGTCTGAAAACAGATAAAAATGCATGTATATGTGATGCGAAAATTACATTTAACTGACGTCGATGTCTGTGATATGAACACCAAACTAACCAGGAAAAGCAGATGGGTACAGCTCATCGTATAGTAGATCTTCGAAAAATAATCTTGCAAAGAAAAGCCTCCTGGTTTTTTACAGTAGTTACTATTTATACACACCGTTGAAACGCTCCGATCTCTTGCTAAGGTGGGCTGTCATTAAGCCCAATATAAAAAAAATGCGAATTCTATTAGAAGTGTTATTTATACGCAACTATTACTGACGGTATTTAAATCAAACGATGCCCTATTTAACCTTGGTGATACTAGAATAAGTATATGCACCCGTGTCCACAACAGCCCAATTCCATCCCTGTTCCCCGTTTTCTCCCCTTCCGGTATCTCTATAGAGGATGTAAGCTGCTCGGAGTGTTATTGTAGCCATTTGTTGTTTCCGGAAGCGCTGCACTGTTTTGGACTTGCTCTTTGGAAATAGTTTTCTCCTTATTTTCGAAGCTTGGCAAGTTTCCTTCATTACCTTCGAATGGCTCCAAACAATTGTTGTTTTGCGTAGTTCCTCTCCGCTCTAAAATCACGGGAGGGCAATTGGTGCTAAGACTTCTTGGCCTTCTGTTCACCGGAATGGGAGTACTCTGTCGACGTTCTGTTTTCATAACAGGGCTGTCAAGAAGCACACCCAACCTTCTCTCTTCGATCGTCTTGGAGATACAAGATGTGTTCCAACATCTTGGTCTCTGTCTTGCTGCATCAACACACTGCAGAGGAACTGTAGTTGTTTTGCCGCTTAGGCCAACCACTTTTCCTTCTGAAATGATGGGTGTGCTATTTGTGCTGTAACTTCGTACTCTTCGAGTTGGGAGGAGCTTTCCCGGAGCATTGCTGCCCCTTTCATGCCTGAAATCTATGGGAATTAGCCGAGGGCCGCCACGTTCGAGATTACAGTTTTTGGTGTTTTCCAACCTATTGGATCTCTCCCACTTCAGAGTCTTTGTATCGGTTAACACCTCAGAATCAGCTCTTTCGGTGTCAGTAATTCCGTTAGTTTTTGTGTTGGCACCTGTTTCTAATTCCGAAATTTGAGCTTGGGTACTCGTGCTGAAACTTCGCTTCTTTTGCCATCTGGCATCACCTTGTTGGCCATTACCTTCAACACTGTTCATGGCGTAAAACGCCCCTGACAACTCATCCACTCCTACACGAAGTGGTGGACAAGTAGTGCTCTTACTCCTGCGTCGTATACTAAGTGGGTTAAGCTGAGAGCTCCGCTTGGGGGCTTGGCCGGTTGATAATGAGCGGAACCTTGACTGCATAGCTTGCGTTTCCAAGGATAAGCTATGACTAAAAGTTTGACTTCTGCTGGAAAAATTTTTTCGAAGAAGCTTTCTTTTTTCAAGACCAATAGATGGATTGTCCTTGACTTTTCTAATCTGTTCTAACTCTTTTCTTAATGCAGTTTGCTCCTGGGATATCAGTGACTTTGACTGAGCAATTTCAGCATTCAGGTAATTTAACTGTGAGTGCAACCTCTGGGATTCCATCTTGTTGAGACGGCGGATGGAGTAAACTCGATCTGAAAGCACCGAGGGGTAGTCTTCCTTCGGTGGGTGCCATGCTGATGACATTTTCGAGAGCTCACACTTGTTGTAATCTTGTTTTATGAATTGCTCCCCTCTCCTTATTTTGCACGCCGTTCACAGCCGTGAGAAGTGTTTTAGAGCGTTTAAGCAACGGATGACAACTAAGCCGTGTGTTTTTGCACACAGATTTGTGCGTCATCGCTTGTTGCCAACCAATTAAATGGAACGCAAATTCAATCTTCACGGTAATGAAGTCGACAATGCGGTGTAGTTAATTTCTCCTACTTCAGTTATATTGAGTCCTCTTCTTTGAAGAAACTGAAAACAGACGTCAGAGATCTTTGGAGATCTTTGATCATACCCTAAAGAGATTGCCACTCTTGCTTTATATAAGCAAGGAATATCCAAGTAGAATGTGACAGCAGAAGTTGTCAACAGTGAAGATTGAAACAAAATTTGAAGGTTAGAAAGTACATACAATCTGTAGTTGACTTTGCATAGTCAAGTAGCAATTAAGTTTAAATTAAACAACAGTCGTCAATTTTATCGCTTGCTAAAAAACTGATAAGATTTAGCATAGTCCGTACCGTGGAACGTAATTATAGCATTCCTTTGCATGATTTCGTTGGTAAAGTGGTTCCTCCATAAACGCTCGCCGAAAGACCATGAAATTATTTTTTGTTCCTTACGTTTTTGGACTTGGTTTCAGAGAGTGGATTATCATAAATCATCCTATGGATACAGATCTTTGTCTGATAGACAAAAATATTTATTTCCCTTATAGGTGTTAATGTTTACTGGTATAAGTCATCAGCTCTGAAGAACAGCTCGAGTCCGCTAATTACAGCATTATTTCATTTGAACTCATAAATCATAATCCCCGGATCAATAGGGAAACCACAAACATAAGTAGATTTTCTGTGGGTGCAAGCTTACGTTGCTGTCCGGGCTGTCAGCTTGTCTAAATTCACTAAATTCCTCTGTAGTCATCAGGAAATTAACAACAACGCATTTTTATCTGTATGTTCTCGTTCCCTGGCCCTCGTCTCTGCGCACAGCCAAAGCTGCACGTTGGCAAATGAGTTGAAATGACTTGAAATGATTTTTGCCGAGATTGAAGTAGCCTGCGAGCAAGCTTTCTCTTCGGAGCAGTCTCAAGAAGTCACACGAGAGTAGCCGACAAAAGGACGCAAGTTCGAGCTCTCGCGGCTTTAGAGACTGTAGGGAAACAAGGACGGCTGCCATTGGCCGCAAGTATTTGGGAATCCAGGGGCGTAGCGTAAGATTTTGAAAGTGTACGCACAAGAAGAAAAGTTAAGTTGCAAACTAGGGTAGTTGCGGGCATGCTGCCCAAAAAATTAAAACCAAGCTCTCGTCAGCTCGGAAATGCCATTTCCTGCGTTTTCCGCTGGACATTTTCTGTAAATAAATACGAAGGAAAACGTAGTAGTTGGTTGTTTATTTTACCCATCTCTAGTGTTATCGGTAAGATACAGTGTTTGCGGTTGGAGGAGAGGGTAAAAGAGAGACGCCATCAAGGGGGCTACAAGCAAAAGGCGAGACGCGTACGTTCACCCTTTAGAAGGGCAAACTCTGTTACAACGCCATCAAAGTTCTTTTTGCTTGCATGTGCTTGTGTATGTGCGGAATTGAAAGAGAGCTCAGTCTCTCGTCTGTCAGCCCCCTGCAACTTTTCTTGCCGTCCGTTTATGGAAACAAAAGTGTTAAGGAATACAAAGACACCAATAAAATTAGAAAAATTTATCAGTCGTCCTCATTCAACGAATAAAATGCTGTCCAGAAACAATAATACAACAATTTTCCCCTCATTTCGGTTGTACGCAAGGGCGTATGTGCGTACATGGACTCTGGGAAATTTTCCGGGAAATGTGAGATATTTTCGGGACATTGAGCAAATATTTATTTCGACCTTCATCTATTAACAGTTAAGATTTGATTTTACGCGCAATATGCACCCTGTGCATGCGCTGTATTTTGTTCATTTTGACACTTTTAAACAGTATAACTCCCCATGAAAAGACTCATCAAGAACGTGTACAACTAGAAGAGCGTGCAGTTGCAGTTTGATAATGCGACGCAACCACAAAAACCACATTGGGAGTCCATGCAGTTTACTGCGTTGTTCAGGGAATGGAACACGAAAATTTGGCACCATCAACTTAGTTGACAATATTCTCTCTTGATGGATCTTGTTAGTTTTAGTGCATCAGACCTTGAGAGAGAAGTTATGCATGTCAGTTCCTGTGTTCCCCTTCCCTCCTTTGGCTGTGGATAAGACGAGACTACATCCTTTCGATTTTTCCGCAACATTCTCCTCCGGAGGTCTGGGTATGAAATTCGATGAGACATGCACATTAACTACATCTTCATCATGTCAACATGGCGGACCCGTTCATCGGTTTCGGTGAAGGGATTCCAGTACGTCTCCATTATTTTAATTGCACTCGTGGAGAAAAATAAGTTGTAATTTACAATCTTAAGTAATTCTGCAATATCATTTCACTTAAGAAGTGCTGTTTCAATCTTGTTTCTCAGGTCTTTGAGGACGAAGAACTTCATGAATTGGATCCGACGTTGACAAATCTCAAAGAAGGAGAAACTTACGACCAGTTAAATGACGACACATTTGGCTCAGGCGCTTTAGGTAAGAAAACACTTTATACAAGTTAAAGTGTATTTTTCCAAAGACGTTCTTGCCTATACACAGTGAGCAAAACCACGTGGTAAAATTGGGTAAATTTGCTCGCTGAAATAAGTGACACTGATACAAGCGCAAAGGGTAAACTGCGCAAAGAAGCTCGATAACCTAATTTACTTCTGTTAATTATCAGAAGGTTTGGATATTGTAAATGTAGGAACTACTTACATTGTATAAGATCTTTTTCGAGTAAAATGTTCTATTAAGTTAACAGGACCTGGCTTTGCACTGCAGCATTGTAGTAGAGCAGGAAGTTGGACCTCTGTTGTATCATGAAAATTTGGTCATATTTTATGAAGCATGTTGGTTGTGTGTTTTATCAGAGAAGTGTCACTTAGCAAACCCTTAATGTTTAACCAATTTAGGACTAAACATTCTACAGTTCTTCTTTTTTGAAATGAAAAACATGTAAGCTTGGAACCTCCCTGCTGAAACACAAAGAACACAGCATTTATGGCTTCTTCCCATTTATTTTTTGTAGAGGATGACTGGGAACTTTCCCACAGGAAGTTGTCAGGTTTGCATTCAGAAGGGACACATGAAGCTAATTATGATGAGTGGCTTAAGAAGAAAGGGTTTGAACTCCAGTCAAGTGATCTTAGATTAACAACAACAAAGGAGTTGAAAAGAACGGGAAAGGAAGATCCTGAAGATGAATTGGACCGGGAAGAGGTAAAGTAGAGTAGTCAACACATCATCAGATTAAAACCTACAGTACTCTTCCAGCTACTCTTCAAGATTCATTTATATCACAGTGGTGGCTGACTGCATGAAGAAGACTTCCTGTACATGTATTTACAGGGAAATTATCTAAAACATATTTGCCTTGTAAAGGGAGAATTTAAAATAGACCAGGACTCAGTAAGGACATTACTCAGTCGACCTTTTCATTTGAAAGTTAACTAGAATAATCTTTACAGCTCGCAATACTTAAGGTTGCCTTGACATCTACCTCAAGTAGGTAGGAAAGAATGGCAAAGGATTAAAAATGGCTTAAGAAAGGTACTTGTATTAAGTTTAATGTAAGGCAGTTCATTTTAGCTGTTATGAAAACATTTACTTATAGAATCAATTCCTTCTAAATAGGAGATTCTTGAACAAAACTTGACCAAATTGGTTGATGATGATGATGCTGACTCCATACCCATCCCTAGAAGGTCCAAGCACAAGGTATTCTATTTTGTCTTATCTATTTAAATAGATATACTGAAGTTTCAATAAAGCCGGTTAAGCAGCAGCACAAAAGTCACATACCAACAGCTACAGCTGTATATACATTTGGCATTCTTTCTTTCTGTATAAATTACATGTATTTCCAATGAGTAGAACAAAGCTCTCCTTTTGACCACTCTGAAATGCAACCAGCTCTACTCAGCTCTTGTTACCACCAGTATTCAAATGTGGAACTGCATTTGAACTGTGGCTGTATTTTTCTTCGTTTTTTTGGTTTTTGTAAGCAACCGCACAGTCAACACTTCAATAAGAGCATTTACATCTTGATCAAATTTAGGCCAACACATAACATAAAATGATGCTAATGGTTTGTTATTCTTGAATGTATCGAGTAAGAAAGAAACTAACCTACAAAAAAGATCGAATGACCCCGAATGTCCGTTCTTCCAGCTTTTACCTAAGGAAAAGAACACAAGGTACAATCTTAGAAATATGTCAGTTTCTGACACTGACAGGTTTAAGAACATTTTTAGTAACAGAATAATAATTATTTTTAGATATGATATGTAAATAGTTTTTTGAGTTTATATTGTGACTTAGGATATGTGTTTTTATCTTAAGAAATAAAGATTCTTCTTCTTCTTCTTCTTATTATTATTATTATTATTAACCTAAAATGTAATGGTAATTAAAAGCATGTTCCTTTCTCATAACGTGTTTTAACATGTTAATCACATACCGTATTTACCCGTGTATAATGCGCACTTTTTTTCCCCGAAATCGACCTTCAAATTTACGATGTGTATTATACACGGATTCCATTGTTTGGTCAAGAAAACAAAAGAAGACAAAAGCTTTGCAGTAATTGGTGTTTAATAAACTCAGTAAAGTTGTTTAAAGACACTGAACACTTTACTTGAATCGAACGCAATACAGTAATGATACTCAAGGTACCAGCAGTGCTGTCATTAGAAATACCGGTAATGTTTATGAATTGCTGTTACACAATTTGTAAAACGTTTGACTTTTATTGAATAGAAAGGCGTGTAAATAAGTGCTCGGTGCGTGCGATATTTGTAGTTTGTTGTAAACATGTCATTAATGAATTCCCAGCTCTTGTTAATTAAATGGAAAAATGGAAGTTTTAATTCTTGGTGTTTATCTTGAAATCTTTTTTTTTAGAATAAAGTGGTCAAAAATTAGGGTGCGTATTATACACGGGTAAATATGGTAGTTCTTTACAAGGACCCATTTGTTGTCAATGCCTTATTATTTTCGTGCATAAATCATGTGACATCTACATGCTACATGCTACATGTGCATGCACTAAATTAAACAAATATCAGTAAGTGGGTCAAAAAATTGTTTTACTGACCAACACTACAGTATTCTGGAATAATCCATAAATGCATTCCAATTCTAGAATTCGAGGTCAATCAAAAACCCTTACCATTGAAGAATTATTATTGAATGAGGTTGAGGATAATGTGAAGAATTATGCAGATCAAGGAGAATGTTATTGGCCAAGCTGGACTATTAACAGCCTCCAAGATTTGCATAATTCTTCACGTCATATGAAAGCTGAATTCAATAATTGTTTTATTATTTTTTACTTCCTCATAGATTTTTTTCAAAACATTAGCCTTTTTCTCGGCACGGTTTCAGGATACAAACAGATGTTTTTCTGGCAGATGCTGCTCAAAAAGTAGATACTCTGTAACATCCATCAAGGAATATGTTTTGCATATTCTTGGGTTTCTTCCATTCAGTTTTAGTCAGAAATTCAGCCATGAACACCATTTTTAGTTTACATTGGAATTAATGCATTAACAGCTAGGTTGCTGTAGCTGGAAACAAGGTTGATTGATGGTTTTGAGGCAATATACCACTAAATCAATGGCATATTGCTCACATTTTCCTGCTGGTTCTGAAGAGTTAGCCAATCAGAAATGGCGAAATATTTTGAATGAATAGTAAATAATAATAATGATCTTTCCACTTGTACCTCAGGATATCAAGCATCCATCAGGTGTTAATCCAGTTTGGGATGGTACTTCACCTCTGTCAAGTCCTTCATCAACAACTTCAATACATGATCTGGTAAGGGCACTCTAAAACAATTTACAGTTTATTTATGTCCTTCATGTATGCTTTAAGAATCACAACAAATTACATCCCTTATCTTATTGTTTAGGTTTACACCACGTATTTAATAGGAAGCAAAATGTATCCAAGTTCACTTGGTTGTCTTACCCCAAGAGAACTTTTCAGGGGCAGCGTGCAAAGAAAGTCATGTCCAATAGCCCGGGGCTAGTGGATTTTGCTATTGGGCTAGTGATTTTTGTTTTTAAGTTGCCCAACGGGTAAATGCTGTTTTGGGGGGAAATACAAATTACAGAAGGATTGTAATCAATCATGCCAATCAAGAAGGGTTTAGCTTGCCCAAATTGCAGGCTGTAAAACTGACTTTCTTCGCACCCTGAGGGACCTTTTTGGTGGGGGAAGGGGGGGGGGTCAGTAGGGTAGGGACGTTTTAGGTCAAACAGGATACAGTCAAACGGTTTACGGACACCTCATTAGTATGGACAGTTTCTATGGCAATTTCAGTGTCCTTATTAATGGGGTTTGACTGTATTTAATTCCCAGAAGTGGGACTTCACATTACATTGGTTTTTAAAAATTCTTATTAAAGTGAAAATGGATACTTTAATAAACCAAAAATTAATAATGTTAGGGACATAACAATCATGAGTCAGCTATTAACATTATACACCTGTACATGTACATGCTATAATAATTGAAGTAATAGTTAAAATGTTGTTGTTTTCATTGTTGTTATTGTTACATGTACTTTGCCTTTTTTTTCTAAATGCTTATCCCCCCTCTATAATAGCATCCATTTATGGGGGTACAAATGTATCAGTTACAGGACTGTTAATAAGGGTGACCTTTCACGAAGCCTTGATGTCTAAAAAAGGAAACTTTATTTGAGTGTCAATGTACTTAGCATGAAAGTACGAATTGAGGACACTATTTTTTACGTTTCCTACTGGAGACGGGACTGCCATTTTACGTGGTCATCCGAGCCACAGGAAGGTCTACCCATTTGCAGGGCAAACAAAGGCAGTACCTTCATTTCTCAGTTAGTTTAAGACCAGGGCTGAGTATTGGTCTGGCCCTGGGAATCAAACCCGTGACCTCCCGCTCTGCAGTCAAGCGTTCTACCGACTGAGCTAATCCTGCCGCGGTTCTTCAGTGCCATTCAGTAACATGTACTGCTGGTTTTTCTAGATATCGCCATCTTCAAACATCTGGGGATCACCCTCTAAACTTGATAAAGAAAATGCAAATAAAGGACCAGTCAATACTCGACAATCTCCACTGGCTGAATTACTGAAGGCAGAAACTGAGAGGAAACGTAGACTGAGGAGACCTTTCTCACCAGCATTTGAGGTAATGTGAGTGTGTTTTGGTCATTCTCTGGCCACAAAGAACCTCAATTGCTGAAAATGTCACTTTCTATATTCTGTTCCTGATACTTCCAAATTTCGGCCCTGCACAGAAGGCAAAATTTCAAGTTAATGTGCCCTCAATTTTTACCTTCTACTTTCCTGCTTCCTGTCTTTTTTTTATTTTTATTTTGCCCCTTTTTTTTCCTTTTCCTGGGCATTTACTATGCTTCACTTTGGAAAGAAAAGTTTTCATGAAAACCAGGAGAATTGTGAAATAATTTCACAATTCACAATTTATTATTTGAAAGGGGGAAGAGATAGGGTGGAGTGGAGCAAGACTCTCATTGGAATTTTCTGTTCGACCTTGCATGTTTTTTTTTTTTGGCATTTTGTCGCACCTGTTTAACTGAATTGTGCTCATTTGTGTATACATGTCGTTGGAAAAATGACTCATTCACAAATTAGGTGGCAAAGTTGTCTACGACCATTAAACTAATAAGACCACAACAGTTTACAAAGATAGTTATGTCCTGTAGAGTGGGCAGGTTAGAGCTTATGATCGGGCTAGTGAGTTCTTTCTTAACTTGCCCAATGGGAACGTAAAGTTCTGTTCCAAAGTGTTTTTAGTGCTGTAAGACACTGAAGCTTTGTAGTAAATTCATGTTGACCAAAAGCCATATTTCTTAACTGATGTGACAAAGGAAAATCTTGAAAAACAAGTATCACATGACGTTTCATGTCAGACTAGACATTGTGTGATCGGCAAAGTCTTTACTCAAAATACCTTAGAAGTAAGGCTGCTAAAGCTTTCATTAAATTATCTCTTGAATTAAGAAATATATGATTATTAACAAGTAAAGAAAGCAGGTAGTTAATTAATGGTGGTGGGTGCTTATGTAGTTAATTAATAAGTAATAAGAAATTATTAATCGTGGTCGAAAATAAAATTTGGGGGTTAGTCAAATGACTTTTGAGATCGTACAATGTATACCGTAAACTTCTGCTAATACCCCCTCAATTTGTCACAACATTCTGAAGTGAGTAAATTAAAAAAGTATTTTGATCAGCTCTGCTATGAAGTTTGTTTTGAAATGCTTTTTCTAGTCCAGTTATAAGCTCCCCTAATAGGTGTAAATTATAAGCCCCCCCCCATGTTACAAACCCCTCACGTCTGCACAAAATTCCAGAGTGGGTTAATTAAAAAAGTGTTTTGATGAACTCTTCTAATGAGTTTGTTTTGGAATGCCTTTTTTAGCTCCCCTTTCAGCCTCCCCAAATGGTGAAAAATAAAAACCCCCCCCCACCCCCCCCCCCCCAATTTATAAGCCCTCCTAAAGCCCCTTACGAAGTCATATACATGTAAGCCCGTGGCTTATAAGCACAAGTTTACAGTATGGTAGCTGCCAACTTTCTTTGCACCCTGAAGTGAGCACAAAGGATGAGGATCTGCAAGCCTAGGGTGGTTTTAGGTAGTTCAGGTGTGAATGGGTTAACGTTGCTTTCTTTGCAGGATGATGCCATAGTAACAGCCATACCACCCCCAGGGCTGATACCACCAAGCCGCTTCATGAAGAAACCACCCCCAGTAAATGCTATTAAGCTGGAGGACCTTGAAAAGGAACTCACTGGTGATAGCAGTACCGCTCCCCAGCAAGTGCCAGAAGGTCCAAAACAAACCCCTCGCAAGACAATGATTGGCCAGCCACCGCCTGGTATCCCCAGACCAATGATGACACCTCCTGGTTTGCCTTCTCCTGCATCTGCGAGGATGGTTAGTGTCTGCATTATAAAGTTCTTACGGCGTCACAGAATCATGACACAGTATCGTAATGTAAAATCATTGCAATCCACACAAACCAATCACAATAAGTAATGCATTGATTCCATTTAGATGTATCCCTTAAGGCTGAACAAGGCGAGGTGAAAATTAAAAAAAGATGTGCCCTTTCGAGCAAACAGTACTGTTCCTGAAGCGTACCTAGCCCAGTGTAGCCGTGCAGGCCCACTAACCCCTGTGTTTACTGACATTAGAGAGATTAATATTCACGTTTACGCCAAATGGCAGACATGAATTTGTATCACATAACCTAAAACATAAGTTTTCCCCTGATTTTTCGTTTACTCTTTATTGCTTCTACACAAAAATGAGTAGTTTTATGTCAGTTTTAACGATAGGAATCATTCGGGACTGTTTTTATCTGGTTATTTTCTATTCTGAGAAATTCTCAACTTGAGACTGGCGTTTGCCGTTTGCAGTAAACGTGAATCGTAATCTCTCTGTTTACTTTGTCTTTACCTTGGAAAATATTGCATGCCCTTTAGGCAACTTGTAATTAAACCATGCCTGCCGGCTGGGTCCCTGTACCAGCCCTAGGCTATCAGACAGCACTTTTTTTATGCCTTACACAATAAATAAAACTATATTATTTTAGGCTTTTGGTTTCACCTTCTGACTGCCTAAGTAATGGGTGCAAGACTGTGAAGACCAGTTGTCACAAAGAAACCATGCAATTGAAAGGTTTTCAGTAATTATTAGTAAATAGATCTCAAAGACAAGAACAGTAGGCAGTGTTTATGTATGTATGAACTTGAATACTACAAAATACATACATACATTCCTGGCCCCAGTTGTTCAAACAGTGGATAATGCTATCCACTGAGTAGCAAAGGATAATAAATATATACTGAAACAAAGGATAATAAATGCTCAGTTAGGCAGGGATACTACAACAGGGGTAAGCCAATTACAGTAGTCCCAGAGTTAAAAAAATATGTGAAAAAAAAAGTAAAGCTGCATATGACAATTAAAAACAACAATGAAGATGGAGAGACACATTACATGTGAACGTTATAAGACAGACAGATGGTTTTCCAGGATCGTGGGCGGTAGTTATGTTAAGAGGCATCTACAGTACATGGTACTTATACATGATGGATTTGAATTGACTGATATGAAGGTTACATGAAAGTTGAACATCATTTGCTAACGTGTTCCAGATTTTGGTGGTTCTATTAAAAAAAGGTCTCTGAAAAGTGACGGTATTATATTGATCTAAAATACTCAGCACTGAGCAAGTCACCTAATTAGTAAATAGATATGTGTGTTATTGTTCACAGCATACTCCAGCAAGGCCCCCTCCGATGTTTCAGCAGAGACCGAGTCCTTCCAACCACAGTATTCCTGGGATGCCTGTTATGCCTGGAATGTCTAACATGCCTGGAATTCTTGGTCCTGGTCCAGGCCCAGGTCCTCATATGATGAGAACTCCAAGGACACCTTTTCCAAGGCCTCCATTTCCCATGATTCACTCAGACCCTGGTGGGTACAATTATTTTATAGTACATGATGTTATGCATGATTTTTTGAAGTAATTCCCAGTTGATTTCAGTTCTAATTACAAGGTTTTCCTTCGCTTTGTTAGGCTTACTTAAGAATAATAATAAAAATTATTATCCAATTTTAACATGTCCAGTTGGTACATCATTTGTGTGCTTCACATATAGATTGGACAATCCAACAGTATAAACACTTAAACCTCTTTTTTTGCAAGATTCAAATGTAAAATTGTTAAAATTAGTTCTGTGAGGGTAGCAAAAAAGACAAAATATGCCATCTAGGATTGCAATGCTGTCAGTTGTAATAGCAGAGCCAGGGTGGTGCAGTGGTGAGAGCACTCAACCTCCCACCAATGTGGCCTGGATTCAAATCCTGATGTGAACACTATACATGTATGTAGCTTGAGGTGCTCTGATTTGCCCCTTTCCTCAAAAACCACACTTCCAAATTCCAATTAGACCAGGAATCAGTAAGACAATGAGCCACCAAGTGGAAGTGCTACCTCTAAATCATTAATTTGTATTATTTATTTATTTAAAAAGTAGAATGTAAGTGTATATGTTACAGGTCAAAATTTAATTGAGGTTAAAGTTTTTTAACCCAGGTTGATTCTCGGTTTCCTTTGTCTCCTAGCCTTAATTATTCATGAATTAGGGCTAGGAGACAAAGGAAATTGAGAATCAAACAAGGTTAAAAAATTTTAACCTGAATGTAATTTTGACCTGTAACATTATACATTCAAACTTGTATTCTGTAACAAGGTCACCTGATGTTACAAAGAGGCATGCTGAACTTTCCAGTGAGTCCCCAGCACCCAAGATTTGCCAGTCCTCAGTTTCATAACAGAAGATTTCCAGACCCACGGCAGAATTTTCCTAGACAGCAGTATGATAACCGTTTCTTTAATGATAATCGCTCACCCAGACAGCAGGATAGAGGTGAACATCAACACCAGTTTACTGACTTGGAGAGGAAAATTCACAACATCTTAACAATGGCAGAAAGTGCCCCAAGAAAGGATGATCCATATGCTGGGCTCATGACTAGAAGAGAAAAGGAATGGTTGATCAAGATCCAGTTAATTCAACTCACTAGTAATGAACCTGAACTTGATGATTACTACTTCCAGGTACATATTGGTGGTTTTCATTGCCATGCCATCACCAATCAAAATCAAAACCATTCAATCAAAGTAAAAACTCTAGGAAATGGAGGACCAAAAGTCTTGCCAAGAATTTGATTTCTCTGATTTTTGATATGCAAGATACTCAGGAAAACAATTGTTTTACCCACATTTATAAAGCTTTGTATAAAGACACCAGGTTGGTGTCGCTTTGAGAGGCACAACCATGGCAGCCGAATACCAACAGAAACATCTGTCTTTATTAAATCATAACTTCTGCCATAATGCGTGAATTCATTGCTTGAGGAACTCATAAGGATTAATTAAAAGTGATATTTATTCAGAGACAAGTAACGTTCAGATAGCAAAATCTCAAACGATCGGTAACTTTTTCAACCTACATGATAGCTTTCTCAGCCGCCATCTAAATGCGACATAACGCAAAAGCTTGGAAATTCAAGCGTGCCCCCTTGCAAATCCAAGAACCTTTTTGACCAAAAACTGGTATAAACAATCATGTTTAGATGCTGTAATACCCCCCATGAAAGTAAACACACAAAAGAATAATTTTTTATTTGTAATTTTTTAGTTTGCGTTTTGGTGCTGTCTTGTAAGACAAGGTAGGGCCATTTGCTGGGACAAAACAAGGTGGTGCTTTAAATGGGTTGGCTGTATGGTAGGCTAGGGGGTTCCACAGTCCTCTTTTCACTCTTTGAAAAGGGCCCTGCACGGATGAGGGCAGTGGCTTGGAGAGTGAAGATTTTTTAGTCGAATAGTGCACAGCCTTATCTGCAAGAGGTCCTCAGTTCGATTCCCTGGTGTGAGCCCAAATCCTTGTTTACACTTTGTTCCTTTCCGTATAGCTTTAAGTAGCTTTAAATACCTGTAAAACTGAGCACTAAGGGAGATAGAAGGAGGGATAAAATGAGCACATTGTTGGCCTTAGCTTTGGCAGTTTAATGAGGATTGTTATAAGTTATAGACCTTACTTATTTATGTTCTAGTGACTAAAATACCAGTTTGTATTTACGTTGTTTTCAACTTTTGTCAGACGTACACAAGAAGAAAAGCTGCTAAAGAACGTGAGAAGCAGAGCGAGGGTGTTCAGTTGCGGCCCAATATTGAAGACAACAGGAAGAGTAATGAGACAACCAAGATGGCATTACCACAGTTTGAAAGGGAAAAGAAGACCTACACCCCAAGTGAGTGCAAATTATTTACCAGTGCTCGCATTTTCCAATTATCTTTTCTTAATGAAACCTTAGAGGTCTTGTAATCTCCTACAATGGGAATTGACAAGGCCAATACGATTATTGTAAGGGTTGTGACATAACAGGTGGTGGTTTCAGTATAGCTGCAGCGATACTGAAATACCGTAGGCTTCTGCCTTTAAGCTCCCCCCCCCCTCCCCACTTATAAGCTCCCACAGTAATAGACCCATCTACCTGTAAACTAAATAATACACCCGATTATAAGCCCCCCCGGGTATAAGACCCCCTCTAACTTGTATTGAAATGAACTCGTTTTTTTAATGACGTTCAAGTTTCGTAGCTTGAAGAGCGAGTAAATTGGAAAGTATTTTGATCAGCACTGCTATGTAACTCGATTTGAAATGCTTTTTTTTAGTCCAGTTATAAGCTCCCCAAATACAAGCCTCCCCCCCATTTATAAGTACTCCTAAAACCCATTACGAAGTTGTACACCAAGCGAAAGGTTACGGTAAGTCAATGTGCATGTAATTGTTTTCTTTTTCACAGCGCATTACCAAGGAACTCTGGGAAAAGTGTCTTCATCATCTGTACAGCATCCAAGACAAATGGTGGATTTAATGCACATCACTAAAACACCTGAACAGGTACTACTACTGCCTGGGCTACTGACTCAGTGTTACCTTTGTTGGATTAACTGCAGAATACCCGGCCTTTTTGAAGCTATACCCCTAATAACAGTGGCTACGTGGCTATGCGGCTACGGGGCTGGTCATTAGCTGTAACCTGATTAGGATTTCATATGTTTCCCAATTCTTTCTATCTTTCTACCGCTTGAAAATAAGTTCCAGGTATTGGCCTAAAATATTTCAAACGAGCGCAGTATTTCCCGCTAATTGTAAATAGTAATAGAAAGTTAACCGCGTAGCCACTTAGGGTTAGAGTTACTGTTAGGTTTAGCTGCAAAATAATAATATTTTTAATTATTCATTAAAAATATTTCGCCATTTCTAATTGGCTGAAAATCCCCAGCTAATTCTTCATAACCAACCGGCACTGACCAAGTATTGAAGGTGGTAGCAATATACCATCGATTCGGTGGTATATTGACTTGGAAATGAGGTTGATCAGTTATATATTTGCCTAGAAACAAGGCTGTATGGGCAACTGAACAGACTATTGATCAACCTCGTTTCCAGGCGTGGCCGCCTAGCTGTTTATTCCCGAGTGAGCTAAAAGAAATGGTGTTCACTGCTATCTGAAGTTAGTATGATGAGCAAGAATATTTCTAGCTGTTGATAAATGATAGTATCTCAACGATCATTGCCGTAAATGTCAGCAAAACTACTGCAGACGATAGCAGATGTTTGAATAGTGAATGCTAGCTAAAATAATTATGAAAACTAAACTGAATTAACTTACAACTTTGCTGAACATCTCAGTGGCGGATCCAGACGTTCAGATAAGAGGCGGAGAAGAGGGGGGGGGGGGTTTTTTTTTGTTTCCCCCGACCCTCCGTTTGGGTGACAAAAAAGGGGGGGTCCCGGCCCCCCCCCCCCCCCCTACTCCGAGCGAGCCCCTCCCCTGGATCCGCCAGTGCATCTGAATGGTTACTTTACTCCTTCTAGGAGAAACATGGAAGTTCAACACCTATGAAGGAAACAAAACGACGTGGACAGCTGTTGCTCACTATAGAAAAGGTACTGTGTGATAGGGACACTGTGGCTAAGATTTTATTCTAAGATTTGTTATTGTCTTTAACGAACAATAAATTGACCTTTCCACCCTTTTTTTTCTACTTTTGACATGGACAAGTGAGGGAAAATCCGTCAATTCCGCTGGAAAGAGCACCTTCAACATTAGTACGATTTCCAAATTTAAAAGTGATTTGTTGAAAACTAACGAAGCTATAGCTCCTCAGAGTCGCGAAATTTTACAGTTTTGCGTGGTGGAGGGCACAAACTTGCCTGTAGTTGTACTCTTTACATGGTTTTTGACTGATTGTTCGGAACTCTCAAACTGTGACTTTCACTCTCGTTTTCAGGGTTATGATCATCTGTTGAATGTCGAAAGTTTAGACAAAAAGTTAATCCATCTCGAGGAAGAGGAAAGGTGTGTATGTTGTCAAAAAAGATGTACGTTCGATTTCTTTACCCACTTAGTTCCCGTTCACACGTATCCGTTTTTGTTTGAAAGTGGAGATTTTTTTTCTCCGCTTTTCTCCTCACGTTGCGTTTTTGAATCGTTTTTTCCCGTCCAAGCGAAAATGCAGTACTTACTGAAAGCGGTACCTTCTTGGATTGGAGCATGGGCATTTCGTCTCATCTCGTGTGCGGGGTAGGATCGTGGATCCAACACCGCGACGTATTCGTTTTTCCTGCATCCACACGAGTCCAGCAAACGGCGTTTTCGAAAATTTCGGCTCTGGAGAGTGATTTGAAAAGATGCGTTTCCGCTGACCGTTTTCACCGGACACGGGTGGACGATAGGCCAGACCAGAGGGAAAAAATCTCCATTTTCAGACACAAACAGATACGTGCGGTGTGGACAGGGACTTAAACATTTCAGAACTCTTAAAGGAGCTGTGTCACGAATTCAAACGGAGGGAACTGCCACCAAATTGACTGAAACATAAAAATAACCACTCAAAATATAAAACGAAGGACGTATAGATAACAGCAAATACAGAAGGAAGCACGGATGGACAAACTTGAAGAAGAAGATTGAAACAGATTGCATTCGGTGGTTTTCGAAAACTTGTTAGGCTAACTGTTTTTCAAAGTTCCTTTTTGTTGTTTGTAAGGACTGAGATAATGCTTGGGAGACATATTTGTTTGACACAAAGCTGTGATTTTGTCATTCACAAGTAATTTTTTCAAGTTTCGTAGCGAATAAGGACCCATAACTGGTATCAACTGGCGTTATGAACAAGATAAACTGTGACACAGCTCCTTTAAGAACTCGTTTAGTGTAGGAAAAGTGTTGGGTTTTGAGGGGAGGGGAAAACCGGTGTACTTGGAGAAAACTTCTGGGAGCATCTGCGGCCTTGTGGAGGGCACCACTCTTGGTCCCCCAACCGACACTAATAATATTAGTTTCAACAAAGTGCCCGCTTGTATGTTAAGACGTTTTATTTTTGTATGTGCGTGATCTGATATTTTTTGTTTGTTTGTTTGTTTTTCAGAAATGAACTTTTGAAAACTAGACAACTTGCTGTTACAAAGCTATTCAATCTCTTAAAACTTTCTACAGATGACACTGCAAAGTATGTTCACCTACTGCGTTCTCATTTCTTGTTCACTTTACTATTTTTTAATGGAACGATTTTCGTCTTACCTTGACATGAAAACGCGCGAACAAAACAGAAACAACAAACGAACGGAAATAGAGAGATTTGATTGGTTTATCGAACGGATACAAACGCGTGTGGTTTTTTGGTTGGTTAAGCGAACGCGCTGGTGAAAAACCTTCCCCTATAACTTTCTAGAAATCAACCGATACTTCACTTTGACGTCATAAACACGATTGGCCAATCGAACGATGCCTTCTCCATATTAGGGTTTTCTTTGGCGGGAAAACGAAGAGGCCCTGTTTTGATTTTTTTTATCCATTGGCTGATAAAACAAATAAGGAACACTTACCAAACCATTTTTCAAGGTCATACGAAAATCGCGCTAACCAATTGAGTTCCCTAATGCCCAAAAAACGTCCACGTTCTGCTTCGGTATGACTGACCATGGCAGGATTAGTTCGGTAGGAAGAGTGCTGGCCTGCAGAGCGGGAGGTCGCGGGTTCTATTCCCGTGACCAGACCAATATACTCAGGGTCTTAAAATAACTGAGGAGGAAGATCCTACGTTTTTCTTGTCATGTTACAGTTACCGGGATAATCCCGACGTGGAGGCCTGGGTAAAGGGCTCAAATGCAGGCCTTACCTTTTACCCCTTGTTTGAAGGGGCTTTTTCACGAATGTTTTCAAAATTCAGATAATACATGCAAGAACTACCACCAGATAGAGAGCAACATAAAAAAAAAAACATTCAAAGTAATTAAAGGACATTTAAATAACACAGCAAATACGAAATAAGGCATAGATTAGCAAACTCGAAGAGGATTAAAACGGATTGCAATTTTGGTTTTGATACATGTAACTTTTTGGGCTAACTTTTTTTCAAAGTTCATTTGTGTCGTTTGTTACATATGGTGTGGAGACAAATTTGTGTAACTAAGTGTTTTTTTTTTGGCCATTTGCACTTTTTTTTGGGGGGGGGGGGGGGGGGTGATTTTTTGTTTCTCCTTAAAAAAGACGCGGTATAGTGTATGTTGTGGTAGTGTTTTTTTTTGTTGTTTTTTTTTTTTTTTTTTTTTGTTTTTTTTTTTTTTTTGGGGGGGGGGGTGGTGTGTTAACTTTATGTTCCCTAGCAAAAAACGACGCGTAATTGGCAATATTGACAAATTAATCTAGACAGCCTTGACACAACTCCTTTAAGATTCTGTTCTCCCGCAATCAATTAATAATGAAGGGTGGAGAGAGGTTTTAATCCCTTCTGACAAATTGATGCAGGAGTCAATTTAACAAAACTTTTACAAGTGTAATTTACAAGTGTAGCTATTGTTTTAGAGTCTGAAAACAATAGCTACACTTGTAAATTAAACGTGTTAGAGTTTTAGGTCACTTTACATGTAGGTGTGTATTTTTAAAAACACAGTCAAAACATGTTGACGCGTTATTCTTGTTTTTATCTTGCCGCGGAATTCCCAGAACTTTGGAAATGTATTGTGTATTCTTCTTTTTCAGGTGTGATGATGAATTCTTTGTACAGTTTCTATTGGTTCTTAAAGGAAAGCGTCTTCTCAGTAGATGTCTACCAGTCTTTAACACGGTAGGCAGATAAAGTTAACTTCGCCATTAAATGTTTTAAACTAATCATTATGCTCCTTCTTTCTGCTTCGTGAATTTGTCATTGTCATCAGCAAGTGACTGATCGCCTTTCTGAGCCATAAAAAGAGTCATGGTAGAGCAATTTTCATGTATTTGGTTAAAAAGTAAGTTGATGGTGATTTTTACAGTTTTCGGATAAAGCTGAGCTGAAATTTTAACTAAGGATTCTCAGTCATCATTTTCATAATTGGAACTGTAATAGAAAAATATCAAATGATTCTATTGAAGGGAAAACAAAGCGTGATTGGTTCTTGGTCATTTTTTGACACAGGAATGTAACTTGAAAAAGCTGGCCCAATTGTTTTAATATGCATTCCGTTTTCATGCCTACCTTTGAACGTCAATGACGTAATTTATAGTTGAGATACATAAATCATTTTAGTGTTTTCTTTGATTCCAAACTGTTTTTCAGCTTTTTTGTAGTACCAAAAATTTTAGGGTGACAAAACTCCTTTAAAACCGTCGAAGAAAAGGTTCTTGGTTTGACTCGTAGATCACGATGGATGTTTCCACTTTCCTGTTAGTCTCCTTTAACTCATGATTTCCACTAGCCACTCGTTCCCATTTATACAGTATTAGAATGGTCGGTTGTGTTAAGAGCTTGTATTCCTTTTTACATGTAACCCTCTTGAAGCAAAATGAATTAACCGTTTGACGTAACGATTTACCGAAAAGAATTCACGAAAACGCCCAAATGTCCTTGGACCTCTCCGTTTCTTTCTTTGTTTGGCGTCGTCTTACCGACCCAAAGTTTTAACATTTTCAAAAAACAAGTATGGGTAAAACTTCTTTTTAACTCTAATTAATTCTTTTACTGTGAAACTCACAACACCGTAAATACCAGAAATATTTATGAAATGTTGTTGTGTTGCAAGAAATAAGCCAATAAGGCGCGAGATTCGAGCGAGATTACTAAACCGCAAACAGCAACGGTAATAAGTTTGTGGTTTTGAGGTTTGCTTGCGTATCCTGAACTTTGATGTGATTGGCCAGTACACAATCAACATTCCTGAAATTTTTCAGGTGTTCACGGTTTTCTGAGGTGGACAGGAATCTGAAAAATGGGCATTGTTACAGCTTTTCGTAGCATGGTTCAGGCTGTGTATCCTTATTGATTTTTTGCAATGCGATGTTGTTTCCAGGCTCCACAACAATACCGGACCCCAATTCGTTTTGTTTTGTTTTTTTTTTGTACTTTTTTTTATCCGACCGAGCTTAAATCAGGAAATGCATTCGAAGCTAAACGAAAAAAAAGTGCAGTTGATGAGGTTTCATTTGAACGGTCACACCGCTCAATTTTGTCCTCAGATTCGAAAGTTAGAACTACATACCAAATGAAGAGTGCTTTGTGAGAGTACTACTTGGATCGTTACATTACATGGCTTTGCAGTCTGCAGATTTACAAGTTACATGTCACTACTGAGCAAGAGGGGCGCAGTGGTGAGAGCACTCACCTCCCACCAATGTGGCCCGAGTTCAAATCCTGACGTCGACGCCATATGTGGGTTGAGTTTGTTGTTGATTCTCTCCCTTAACCCAAGAGGTTTCTCTCCGGGTACCCCAGTTTCCCCCTCTCCTTAAAACCATCACTTTCTTATTTTTTAGTATTGTATTGTATTTTATTGTATTATGTAATGTATTGTGTGGTATTGTATTGTATTTATAATAGTATTGTATTCATTTTTTGCTGTTATTTTCAGACGCAGATAGAAGCCGTGTTGATGGCCATTACCAGGAATATCGTGACACTTATTAAGAAAGACCCCAATGAAGAGGTTTATCTATACATTAAAATTTTTCGTTGTTGCGATGAATAGTGCACAGTGTGGCCAAGTGGTCAGCGCATCGGATTCGCAATCCGGCGTTCCTGGGTTCAAGGCCCGCTCTGACCACTTGCTGGGTTTGTTCACTGACGTCCCGAGCTTAAGTCCTCGGCCAGGCTCGTGAATAGCTTTCCGTTTGGTTTTTAATCCTGTTATGTTCTATATTTGAGCAGAGTGTAGGGGCGGACGGAGGATTTTGTGATAGAGGGGACTTAGAGATATAGTATACAGTGGCAATATGGGCGCGATAGCACCCATCAGGACTGCGAACGGCACACTTTTCTAGGGAGCGCATGCTCCTCTGGGAAAATTTTTGAGATTGAAGCTCTCTGAGATGCAACCTAGTGCATTCTGGACGCTTAAATCTTTAAGTTTGTTGGTTTGAAGCTAGTTTATAAGGGCGGTTGATTGGAAAAACGTTCGATAAATTTTCTTATTAACAATGTTTGTTAAAGAAAATATATTTAAGTAACAAAGCTCGAAGTACCATCCGACACACGTTTACAAAAGAAAAAAATATTCCCTGGCAGAAAGGGGGGGGGGGGGGGCCCTGGGCCCNACGTTGTCTTTGCACAACCCATCGCCAATACGCAAGCATCACCTCTCCGTGTACTTTTGGTTAATCAGGTACTGGTATGACCAAGCTAAGACACTCTAGACTTTCTTTTTATCGAAGGTTTCCTTCGTGAAGTAAAGCTCCTTGTTGGAGTCCGCAGTTCTACTCTCCAGTTTGCTATTGCGCATGAGCGGCACGTATGTAGCCAGAGGCCGATTTGATAAAACTTAAAAGTGTAATTTACATGTGTGACCCGACTAACCATTGTTTGAGAGTCTGAAAACAATAGCTACACTAGTAGATTACACTTGTAATATCATAGGTGACGAATTACTCCTTAATTTTGGCGCGAAATTTCAGCGATTATACTACTACATGAGAAATTTCTGCAATCTGATTGGCTTAGAGCAGTGGTATTTCAGCTTAATTTGAAATACCTACATGTAAAAATTACAAAAACTCTTGCGGGTAGTAGTATAAACAAATAATAGCATGATTCATACTTGATATTTGGTATAAATACCACTCGTGATATTTTAAAATTGTCTCAAATTTCACTCGCCTAACGGCTCGTGAAATTACGTATAACAATTTTGAAATATCACTCGTGGTATTTATGCCAAATATCACTACAAATTATGCTATTACCTATACTATTTTGTAATTTCACGTGTGAAATTACAAAATTGCCATGGCAACCTTCTGTACGTCTCAGTGTCAAGATGGCGACGAAGTTTTTAAAATGCCGTGAATGAAGATGCACAAAAAGACGCTTTAGAAAACCTGAACACACAAGAGAACATCAAGAAGGACTCTAACAGGTATTTTGCCGAAAAAGTCTGAAAAATTCTGAACTTTACAAGCCAAATTTAAGGTCTAAACATTTGAGAGAGTGGAGTTCTCGATCGATATGATCCAGGATAAACATGTCAAAAATCCAAGATTGCTAACGTAATTCGTCACCCATGATATTAATAGGTAATCAAATGGTATACTCGTGAAATAGGTCAATTGCACGATGGCGTCATTGTACTACAACTACCAGAATCCTTGAGTTTTCTGTTTTCTTGTGCAAATTAAGGCTATTGTTCTTTAATCCTCAGCGGGATTGAAAAATTTAAATAAGAAAGCAACACCGAAATGAATTCTGGTAGTTGTAGTCAAATATCGTCATCGTGCAATTGTCCTATTAGGGAATAATTTCACTTGCCTTTAAGGATTTGGACAAAACGCGCGTGAAATTATTCCCTAATTTCACTCGTCACCATTTGATTACACATACTATATGTGAATTGACCCCCATCATTTGTTTGGACTACCACCAAGAATTAACGGCATGCATCAACATAGAACGTCTACCGCTTTCTACCGCGTGGAAAACGTACGCAGAGCACAGTATTACGGCAAGAACGTTTTGACCTTCGATGTTTCTCACCCGCACTCCCTTCCCTTTGGTTATTACTAGCAAAAAGACATCATCAGCGATTTCGTTGTCATTTGAGCTCTTTTTGAGTTTACTTGGGATACCTGTGGAATGGCCAGGCCCCAGTTGTTCAAAAGGTGAATAAAGCTATGGAAATTACAGTGACTAGTAAATTTGCACTTAATCAAGTGTTCAAGGACTGAAGATTATCAAGAGAAAGAGACATGAGAATTATTATAATAATCATCAAAGTGAAAGTGCTTTGTCAAAAACAAATTCTCTCAACGAACCTTTTCAGGAAATGCGTGAAGATCAGTTTGGGAATTTGTATCCGGATATTGACGCTTAAAGGGTTAAATTAGTACTAGAACTCTTAGAGTCTGTTTACAACGAGAGAGGGTTACCCTTGTGCTAGGGTTACCCTAGCAAGCGGGTTAAAGTTAGCTCTTGTTTACAAGCAGAGATAGGGTTACCCCTATCACCGGGGTCAACTTTACCAGCTTTGCTGACGTGTATCGTCATGCGTGACATTCTTTGTAACGACCCAAAATTTGAAATAATCTAGAAGTTCTCTATGGAAAACATGTTAAATTCACGAACAAAAGGGGAAAATATTTCATTGTAGACAGAAATAACCCTTTATTTTTCATATGTTTATAATTAAGCTCAGGAATTGGATAATACAGTTCAAATTGGCACCATTACTGGTCACGCATGAAAGTTGACCCGGGTAGGCGAGTTAACTGTCTTGCTAGAGTAACCCTAGCACTCAGGTAGGGTTATCCAAGTGCTAGGGTAACCCTACCTGCTTCGTAAACACGTTGTGTGAAAAAAGAAGAAATATGCGAAAAATATGCTAGGGTAACTCCAGCACCTGGGTTACCCTCCCTCCTTGTAAACAGGGCCTTACTTGTGTCCTCCGTAATGTTTTTGTTTGAGCTAACTGTCCTTTAGAATTAGCTATATCCAGCAAATTACCTTGCACAAATTTGATTGACTGCCAGATGATTGGTGGTCATCTTTTTACTGCATATAGTAAACAGTTAAGAAATAGTCAATCCCTCAGAGCGTTATCGTTTTCATTGAAATAAGTGCACTTTTTGTGATCCTTGTATTTTCAGTTTGGTTTGGGACTTTTAAGCTTGTTACTGGGAAGAGCGGCCATTGTCTCCAACAGCCTAACTGAATCAGAAGATGAAATAAGGAAGTCATGGTAAGAATCTATATTGAATTTCAGTTTTACGATAAATGATTATTTTGGATTAAAATGTAATGATCAGTCAGAAGAAAACACAGATACCCAACACGTACACAAACTTGCTCTTTTCCTCTTTTCCCTGCCAGCACCAGTGGGAATAACATCACCCCTACCACCACCACCACCACTATTACTACCACCACCATTTCTACTACCATTACCACTACCATTACCACTACCATCACCATTACCATTAACACTACAACCACCATAACCATTATAACCTCCTATACCACCACCGCTACCACCACCATTGCTACTTTTAACACCACTACCGTAAATCACCACTATTGCCACTATCATCAACACTACCACTTTCACTACCATTACCACTACCACCACCATTACCACTACCAACACCACCTTCAATATCATTACCACGCCCACCAACCTTACCACCAATACTATCTTCACTACTCGCAACCTCTTTCTTATTTGTATTTCCTTGATTTTAAGGTTAAATATTGTTTCGCGAGTTGCTATTGAATTTCAAGATGTCCCTGTAAAGCAGTTAGGAAGAAACCTCGAAGCAGCTGACCGATTAGTGGCTTTGTTGTCCAGCTGCACTGATCTCCAGACCAAAGCACTACTACAGGAACACTTAAGGTTTGCCATTAACCAAGTCTCTGTTACTTTTCTTGTACCATAGCAGAAAGGAGGAATTTGGTGTCTAAAATTGATGGGCAGTTTCGTGAGGCCTTCCTCCAAGTTCCTATCTATAATGCGGCCAAGTGCAGAACCTTTCATATGAAAATGAGTTTCATTTGATTAAAAATAGGTGATTTGCTTGGTGACATCTTTAGACTACTGCTACCAGAATCCTTCAGTGTTTTTGCTTTCTTGGGCAAATTAGGGATTTTGTTATTTAAGCCTTCTTGGGATTAAAAATTTTGACTGCGAAAGGAAATCGAAATGGATTCTGGTAGTTGTGGGAAAAAAAGCCATCTCGCAAATAACCTTTTTAAAACCTGTTTTCGTAGTAAAGACGTCGCTCTTTTTTTTTTTTGAAACGAGGCTTGGGGCGACTCGGATTCGGAAATGGTCTATTGCCTTGTAAGCTGAGTGGGATAGGTGAGATTCCGTTCTGAATTTTCATAATGTTCCTCTTAATGCAAGAACGTTTATGACAATTCATTTTTTTTTTCCAACAACACTTTATTTCATATTTACATACAAAGGAGAAATTACAACAAAAAAAAGTAGCAAACTTACAATTTACAAAAGTTATTGAAAATTACAATTTAGAATTATCTTTACCCTTATACATGAAAAATCAGTAACTCTTTTATTCCTTTATTTTTTTAACATAACATAGGAAGGTAACTGACGAAAACTATATTTGCTAATTTATTAATTATTGCACATCTATACGCACACGTATCCACAATGGCTTTAAAAAAAACGAACAAACAAACAAACAGACAGAAAACTTAAACAGGACAGTTAAAGTATTAAATCTTTTAATCTACTCTGACGATTCATTTTCATTTGTTTAATCTTAAACTTTGCTAGCAAGGCATGGTTTCACGCGCGAGGCAAATGCAAATGAAGATGGCCATGTTGTGACAAGGAATCTTAAAATAGGGTTCTAAAGCTGCGAAAGAGGGCGGCTAGGGTTATTCTATCTTCCAAAAATGATTCGCCATCTGTACGGTTTGTCAATAATTTAAATTGGATTCCTTTTTATGAAGAAACGTTTTCAAACTTATTCCAGGTACTTTACCCAATTTTTTATAGGGACATGTTATTGTTAATAATCAAGTTAGTACTTGAAATACTAGATATATTAAATAGAAACTTTGTTTGTTCTAAGTATATACGTGAGACAGCGGGTGGAAAGTCCTCTTTAGTTAGATCTTGTAAGCGGAATAATTTGCCTTTAGAAATTAGACGTCGGGATTCTCTTCCTACTTGTAAGAAGATTTCAAGGAATTTATTTTAAAAAAAAACAGCTTAGCTTAAACTATTTTCACATTTAGCTCGATTTATTGTTTTTATTTGTATTTTTATAAATTTTTTCATTTATATACATTCAGTTTTTAGATATAGGTAATTTTAATAAATTAATTAATTCAAGGGCCACAAGTTTAATAGCTAGTGTTTACACCTAATTGCAATAACGTTGTCATAGAAAAAAGCAAAAAGGAAAAAGTAAAAAGCAGAAAACCAAATAGGAATTAATTAGACATGTGATTTACATTTGCGTATTTTAATAATTTAACAATTATTTAAGAAGTCTTTCACAATAACAAGAAATAATTCTGTAATTCCGCGCTGTAAGATTCCGCACATGAAACACCGATGTGTGTAACAAAAGGGTCCTGACAAACGAGGCTTGGTTTGTGGCGCGGGAGAGGAACTGGCGGAGGAACGCCTCACCCTCTCCGCGATGGAAAGTCCTGCCTACACCCCTGATTTGTTGCTTGAAAATTGTGATCTGATAGTGTTGTACACTACAAACCATACGCAGACTGGCTTTTCTATTTAGCATTAAACGAAGAGACGCGTCGCGTTCCTGGAATTTACCCCAGACTATATTTATTGAAAAAAAATGGAGCCATTTTTTCTTCAGTAGTTATCCGAGGTACGTTTGTAATTAGAGCACCTTTGAAATCCGCTAGATGAATCAGCCTCAAATGGCATTAGAATGACACCAAGAAACTGATGCAAATGATTTGGCTTTCATATTACGTGTTTAATATTCAGCTATAAGCGTGTGTGTTGTGAATGTTGCAAGCAATGATAATTTAATGCTAATTAATTCCTATTTGGCTTTTTGCTTTTTTCTATGACAACCTTATTGCAATTAGGTGTACTTCACTAAATAAAGTGTTTTGTTTCTTACTTACTTAATAACGTACACATGTACAACGCAATCACAAGGAAGGTAAGATGCGCAGCTGCTGCCCAAGGGTTTTTACTGAGCCGTGGTGGCATGGAACCGATGAAACCTGTGTTTTTTGTTTTGTTTTGCTTTGTTTTTTTTACCTTGCGTTTGCGTTTTCCCTGTTCACACCTGTGAATTATGTAAGGGAAAGAAAACGAAAAATTTTCCGTTTCTTGCGTTTGGTCAGTTCACACCTGTATCTCCACGCGTTTCCTTTTGTACTTGTGTCGCTCGTGTGAGCCAAGCATAATTGTCAGTAATTTTGTTTTCTTTAGGTTGGCTGCCTCTGCCAAGTTAGAGATTACCGCGTAGAGTACTCTTCTGAGCTCAGTGAGCTGGAGCTTCAGGGTCCAAAAAGATTTGACTGTTCAAGAAGCTATGGCTCAGTTAGCTACAGCCAAGGAGAAGCCCGTCATGAGTTATTAGAAATGCTTTGCTATTTTTCCTGTTTGTTTTTTGTTTTGCTAAGCTAAGAATTGTAAATATCACTCATTTTTGTTACACTTGTACTTTAAAAGGGGCTTATACTTGAACAAGTGGACTCCCTCTGCTACGAGGTCTGCTTAGAAGTCGGGTCATAGAGAAATTTTCATGTTTTGCTGTAGCCTGCGTAGCTGGCGGAATTCGTTTTGTGCGTGTGACAGTTTTTGTGGCGAAGCCGCAGTTCTAATGCGAAGGCGCGACCAAGTGTCTCTTCTCCATCCTTTATACTGCTTCGGTGCTCCTCTGCCAAGACTTTGCTACGGCATAAATTATGATCTCGCCCGGTACGCAGGCTAGTTTCGCTGTGCAGGTTGCATTGATGCTCACGCTATGTTTATTTCCCCTTCGATGCCATCATCGGTAACCGAGCCTTAAGTCATGGTAAATGAAGTAAATGGTTATTAAGTTACTATAACGCAAAAAAACAAACAAACAAACAAACAAATGTTTTATATAGTCTTAAAAAGAACGGAGCTCAGGTTAACGTTGAATTTACGTTAGGAGGCGTGAAAAGGACTAGGGTCACTCATGATAGACGTATCAGTTGTGAAAGAGAGTTGATTATAGTTTGTATTGAAATTTTCCGGAATTTTGGCTGGCCGTTGTGATTGTGTAGTGGTAAGGGAGGAAGGTTAGCCTGGTTAGATTATTTATTTTGTGAATTTCTTTGAAGCACTTTCAATAGACATTCAGTTCCGTGACCTACTCCAGTGAACACACACATTAAAAACAAGGTCGAGCGTTGAATGGACAATTTCATAGAATTCGCTGTATTTTGTCACCCCAAGCCTTGAGTTGTGTCTTTGTCCACCGGCATTTGAGAAGAAAACAGGGGCGAGTGAACGTTTGCAAAGACTTCTGGGACTGTTGCCAGGGAGGGGAAAAATTGACCAGTAGCTGATTAGCACGCCCTTGTAACGATCCCAGAAGTCTGGAAAAGTTAAGTCGGCCGAGTTTCCTCATTTCTAAAGTGACCAGTGAACAGTGTCTTCAAACTGTGAGCGCTTGTTTACGAATGAGTAATCTGCGTCTATCCCTAAACTGAATATCAGAGGCCTCTTGAATGTATAGAAATTGTTAAGAGCCTTGTGGCTCTCCTCTCTACTCTGGTGTAATGGGGAGTTGGACAGACTCCTTTGTGCACTAGCTTAGCTGACTTTCAGGATTATCTTATTGAGAGTAATGGAAAATGTTTGAAATGAACAGCAGGCTCTGACGATAAAAATGTTCGATTTTTCATTGGTCTATTTGCCCCAGCACAGAATAGATGAATGTTCTACACGTGCAAATAAATTGAACTATTGAATTGAGAAAAACTAATCAAACCTTTTTGTGTGCAATTTGGAATAAATAGGCACGATAACATTTTACCAGTTAAACTCACCCACAGAGATGAGCGTGAGGGCAGGTGCCTGTGAAGCTTGTGGAGACTAGAAGTACATCCGCGTGCAATGCCTAACCTTGACAACCCTGAGAGTGGCATCCACCCTGGCGCCGTCACTGCTAACCAGTGGAAGCTTACATATTTACCATATAATTGCTATGGGGAGCAGAAAAAAAGTCTGAAAGCACGCGCCACGACGGGTAACGACACGCGATTGCAGTGGCCTGACCTCAAGAGAAAGGCTGTAAAAAATCCCATGCGCCCGTGCGACGCAAATGGCAAACCCCCGAACCGGCAATTTTCCGAGTTTAAAGTCATCAAGAGAGAAGAGCGTGGGGAGAGGTGCCTGTGAGGCTTGTGTACCCCGAACTGCAGCCGAATGCAGTGCGTAACCTTGCAACACCGGAGAGTGGCATCCACCCAAACTGAGCTCAGGTGTGCGTGGGAAGCGAAGGGCCTGCGAACAGGGTAGACATGTGGGACAGACAGCCCTCAAACTTTCCAAGAACCAACCCCCCCCCCCCCCCCCCCCCCCCCCCCCCCCCCCCCCCCCCCCCCCCCCCCCACACCCCCCGTGCTGTCGTCTGGAAAAAAACAAAACCACCTCACACCACCAACACACCCGGCACCCCACCGAAACCACACCACTTAACCACCCCCCCACCGCACAACAAACAACCACCACC